CCATCAGGCCCTCCCCCCTACAGAGTTCTCTCATATCCAACAAATGCCCCTCACCTCCTCGTGGACAGCCTCCACCTTCGGGTTACTTCCTGTCCGTTTCAGGCTGGCACCAAGTCCACTGGTCACCAAGGTGGCATCTGACTTGGACCTCTGATGGGTCCTCTTGGTCGGGGAAAAAAACACCTCCCCCTGATCAGTACCATCTGGGACAGATCCAGTAATGAAGGACAAGGAGGCATCTACATTGCTACTGTTGTGTCTGCGGTGACTGCGACAGTGTGGCGGCGAGGACAGCGGACTGTCGGAAACTGATCCCGAAATGGGCCGAGGTGCTTCAAATGTAGTTCCAGCAGGTTTGAGCTCATCTGACAGGATGTGCTTTCGGAGTTTGGTGCCTCTGGAGTGGCGCTGAGTGGAGATGTGCATGTCGGAGGAGTAGGCGCCCAGCAGCCAGGCTGACAGCAGAGAGAAGGTGATGCTCGATTTGCAGCGATTGATCTGAGAAAAAAACAAATGCTCACTTTAGACTGAACTTCTTAAAACATCTAGAGCAAAATTGTAACTCAAAGCAGGTGTGTGAACACTCACCAGGTACGGCCTGATAGCATCTCCCACCTCCGTGTCCATGTGCACGTACATATTAAGGAGCTGTGGCAGGTAAAAGTCCACTTCACTGTCAGGGAAACTGAACAGGCGGTTTCCGATGTACGCCTGGACTCCAGGCTCCTTCGACTTATACAGATAAGAGATCGCCATGGAAACATCAAACAGCTTGGATTCAAACAGGCGCAACAGCCAAGACTGCTTAGACGTTGAAGAAGACTCCGATCGGGCCAAAGGAGACGGGTCTCGTTGGGTTTTAGCAGCATCTTTCTGTCCTTCGTCCTCGTCTTCTTCTTTGATGAAGCTTGTGTCGGGGTTGATGTGCCACGGAGGACTGCAGAGCTCTGGGGTTTCTGAGTAGTTGTGTTGGTTTGGGTCGTCTTGTCGCTGTTTGTTTTCAAGCATCTGGACCTTAAGAAGCACTTCCTGGCAAGCTTTAAGCGCCACCTCCGGATCGATCACTGGGGAACAAAACAAACGGGTCAGACTGTCACCAGAACAAGATTTTAACAATTAAAGGATGAAAGGATGGAATCGATTTTATGAAGTAATAATTTTTCTTGCGATTACCTGGGTCAACCCCGAGGTCCATCTCCATGGCGTCTTCTGAGATTACGTCCAGCAGGGGACTCGGCTCTCGCTGGTCACCGCCGCTCGACACGCCGCTGCTGCCGATGCCCTCGCTGCTGCTGCCGATGCTGCCAGTGCTGCCGATGCTCCCGCTGGGACTGGAGCTGCGAGGGCTGGCGCTGGGGGAAGATGGCTGCTCGCCGTTGGGAGGTGGGGGAAGCTGAAGTTGAGGCCGGGGATGATGATTATGGTGACGATGATGGTGATGGTGATCAGGGCAGTCTGATGAGCTCTCAGAGCAGGAAGAAGAGGATGAAGAAGAAGATGAGGCACTGGAGGGGGAGGAAGGGCAAGAGAACGTGGTTGGGGAAGAGGAAGAGCCAGGTGGAGGAGGTGGGGCAGAGTGGGAGGGGCTAAGATGGAGTGGTTGAAGAGCTGGGGACAAGGAGACCTCGGTGTCAGCCATTTTGGGAGGAAGGCCTGAAAAACAACACAAAGCAGAAATCCGTTTGAACAAATGTGTGCTTTAGTGATTTTAACAGAAACAGGGTTCTTATAACTTTGCTAACAATTAACATATGAAAATAACCCTCCCACGGTCCTATTGTAGCACGTGCTTGTGTAATGTCATGTAAAATTTTTCTTCCGGTCCTATTTCCTGCATTAGCCGCAGAAAGGAAACAAATGCGAAAACGACTGGGCCAGAAAAATCCAGACAGCTTGATGCCAGAGAGTAAATTATCATTCATGGCCTTGCCCAGTTTGGCTTGCAGCTGCAGAAGGCTGTATTGATTTTAGTAGCTAGTGTAGGCTAACCATTAGCATTAGCAACTCCACAACATGACTGAAGATATTCGGGGTTGTGTTATTATTAATATTATTGGAGATTAAAACATTTTTTTAAAAATTGTCGCATTTTTTTTACCCGAGAAAGAAGAGCAAATAGTGGCAGCAAACGAGTTGTGCTGCTAATGAGTAAGACTCATGATCCTGCACTGTATGAAATAATAGCCAAGTTTAACCCTCCCACTGTCCTATTGGCTGCCGGGAAAGTTGACCACTGAGCAGGGTTCATGGCTTATCCCTTGAGGTCCACGTGGCAGGGGTGAGGAGTGAGCACCACCTCACCTGACCCAGTCATTTTCGCATTTGTTCCCTTTCTGTGGCTAATGTGGGAAATTGGATTCGAAGAGAAATTTTACATTGCATTACACAAACAAGTGCTACTCAGAGTGACTAATCATAAAAGAAATTAAACAAGTATACTTTTCTAAGTAAACCAGACCATTCCATTTTTTGCCCATTCGGACTCACAATTTATCTAAATATAGACTGGATTACAACAACTTTGCAACCGTTTTGAGGCGGGAAAGAGAAAACTGTAACTTTGAGACATTTCGGAAACTGCACCATAAACACTGTTCCCGATTTGTCTCTTTATGAAAATTATCACATTTTCCATTTATACATTTAGAAGCACATGTCTATTTTAAAATAAAAAGTCATCTGAATTATATCGTTTTGATTTTTTTTAAATACTATTGCCAACAAAAATAGATTATATTCCCATTTTAAATTTCGGCGAGAGGATGATTTTTCTAGCTTGTCTCACTTCTCAAACACAATTATTTCTTTCTTCCGAGTTATCTGGAACATCATAGAGGTTTAGTATTAAAACTTACCTGTTGGAGCATGATTGTGTTCTACTTCCTGTTTATAATAATAATAATAATAATACAAACAGTGTGTTGTTCATGAGCCAAGACCAACGTCTGAGATTTAGCAGAAGGAAGTGAAGTAAAGGATTGTGTCTGATTGGAAGCACTAAATATGTTTCACTTCCAGCTCTGCTTTGGTGACATTTGTGTACAGGTGGATGGATGTGTGTGTTTCTGCATTTGGGTGTCATCTAAATACCACAAATCAGCTCAGATTTGCATATCTAGAAGCAAGGACTCTAAAATTAACAAGAAAAACAATGTTTCTGCCATTAAAAACAAATGTGTTCTCTTTTGGGGTTTTTTGTTGATCCTGCAGAATCTGTGATGGTGACAGGAGGTGTGACAGGAAGTTATCCCCATTTTTGTTGGCGAGCCATCAGTGTGACGCAGGCCTCATCATCGTCACCATCATCTGCAAGCCTACAGCCTGAGGAGGCATCTTGTTTCCATTTTCATTTTACATCAGCTCCATGTTTCCTCTGATGTCTCTTTGATTTTAAAGACATTTTTTTTTATTTTGTTTTTCCAAAAACTCATCCAATCATGGCTTCTTTAAAAAATAAATAAATAAAACAGTTTCTAACCTGAGTGTTTTTATTTTAACTTGATTAAAATAAGCCCCTAAAAGAAGAAGAAGAAGAAAATATCATTTCTATAGCGCCTCTCAAGATAAAAATCACGAGGTGCTTCACAAAAACAAAAACAAAAAATGTAAAAATTGTAAAAATAGAAAAAAAGCATTTTGAAAATGTTTAAAAATATATTTAAAATGAACAAGAACAAGCAATTGCGATTTAAAAGAAAAAATGTTAAGAAAGAGAGAGTGAATAGGAAAGGGGGAAATCAGTGGATCCTGAGGAAGGTGGAATAGGTGGCGAGAGCAGAATAAAGAGAGAGAGGTGAAGAAGGTCATACAAAAGCCAGCTTGAACAAGTGGGTCTTCAGCTGCTTTTTGAAGGAGACCACTGAGTCCACTGATCTCAGGCTCAGGGGGAGAGAGTTCCAGAGTCTGGGGGCCACAGCAGCAAATGATCTGTCACCTTTGGTCTTTAGCCTGGTGCTGCACAACCAGTAGGCTTTGATCACTGGACCTCAGGGACCTGCTGGGGGTGTAGGGACCAAGAAGATCACCAATGTAAGATGGTGCTTGTCCATGTAAGGCCCTATAGATCAGAACCAGGATCTTGAAATGAACCCTGAAGTTGACTTCAGTTGACTGAAGTGTGCGATTCAGACCAAACCTTCTCGTAGATAGGAGGAGCTGATCGTGTGCAGCTGTGCATGAGATCATCTCACTGCAGCGATAGTGTGAGTTAATGCACGTGTGATGGATTCCTGATGTGAATGCCGTGGAGGTTGCTGCTGTCATAGTGACGTTGTTTGCACAAGGGAGTGTGTGCTGTAAATTTTTCTGTCGGTGTTATTGTTGCTTTGCTCAACTGGGGTTTGGATTGGAGCTGAAAATCATCTGCAGATGTTTCAGATCATCAGTTGACAATTACTGCTCTCCCTTTGTGGCGTCTCAGGCTGATGTCACGTTATAAATAAAAGGGGATGGAGACTTTTTTTTTCTTTGCTCACTTATCTCAAAACAATTAATGACAATGATTCGTATGCATTGGTAAGGTTGGTAAAAAAAATAAATAAATAAACTGTGCAGGAAAATCGTGTCAACTTTGCTGCAGAAAATGTTTGATCAAAAATTAATACTTGAGCAATTCAATTGAATATTTGCTTCAGTTGAATGATCTGGTGAACCTTTTATATCTCGACTGAAAAAAGTAGATGAAGACATAGTTTAAAGGTCAGGAGAGCTGATTTAATAACCAGACGGTCTTTGAATGCAACGTCCCAGCGGGCTGATGGAAGACAGACGTGTGCAGTTCAGGGCAAAGTGTGAAACTTATGACAACATCACAACTAAATGAACTCAGGGTCCTTCCACACGCCTTGAAAATGCAAATGCAACAATCTGAATGACAAGTTCGTCTTTCAGCAACAAATAGAAATACACATGTAACAAGTTTTCTCAAGATTTGGATGAAACAGAATGAAGAGGTAGTTAAATCTAGAATTTAGCTTTATTTGGCCCAAATTATATTTCTGCATTAAGTCATTCAAATGGCTCGAGTTGAAACATTTCTCCACCTTCATTTGGCTTTTTTGGCAAAGGATTATAAATCCAGCACATGATGGGGGATGCTTTAACCAACCACAGCTTTGTTTTGCTTTAATCTAAGCACAGTGCATGTGCCTGTTAGTAGCTCTACAAGTAGATGATTATATGCAGGTCCATCCAGATGGATTTTACCCCTCAAGGGTAGAAAATCTTAGACGAAAACCTATTTTTACCAGCTGCACTTATCATTCTTAGCTAGGAATGTAAGAAAATATCGATATAGCAATATATCGCAATATTTTTTCCTGCGATATTATATCGATGTTCAAAAGCTGTGTATCGATTTTTTTGGAAGAATTTACGTGCAAACATTTGTGTATTTTCTTTTCTTTTGGTGCAAATCAAATGCCATCCGCTAGTCAGCAGTAGGGTGCAATGGAGTTAGTTTCCACCACTGAAATGTAAATCCGTCTATTATGGTTCAGATACCTCATGTTAATCGTGTTAAGTATCAGTTTGAACCATTTATTGAATTTTCCTATAATAATTTTAGTCTAAAAAAAATCGCTATAATTGTTCATGTTCATGTTTATGTATTTAGCAGACGCTTTTGTCGAAAGCGACTTACAAGTGATAATCAGCATGTTGCCCTTGAGGCTAACAACAACAATAACAACAACCTGACATCAATCATGGAGAGGAGGGAACAAGGGGTGGACAGTAGAGAATTGTCCGACTGAATGTATCGCAATATATCGCGATATATCGTATTGTCTCCCCTGTATCGTGATAAGTATCGTATCGCCAGAATTTCACCAACACACATCCCTATTCTTAAACATTTTAGTTGATGTTTGTTTATGTTGCATTCACAGTAAATATAGTAAAATAAAAAGCTGATTTACTGTTTTTCCTGTTAAAACTTACACATGTATATACTAATGAGCTATTACTACATTAATAAACATTTTGTGATAAAAACTAGAAACCTCCTTGAATATTGGCCGTTTAAATGAACACGAGCCTGTCTGCCAGTAGGACAAGGAGGTGGTGGAGGTGGAGGAGAGGAGGAGAGCCGCTCCCTCCTGATGAAAACAAACTAAAGGAAGGAGGACGGGAGCCGGGCAGCAACAGGCCCACGAACGGGGATTTAACACTGCAGCAGCGGCCTCACACAGCTAAATGCCATTTTAAGCGGAACTGTCCAAAAACAGAAGGAGAAGAAAGTCAAAAAAGTGAAAATAGCGAAGAAACGGTGGCACTTACCGAGCCAATAAAGCGCCTTCGCTCCGTTTTAAAAGCTCCAACGCGCGAGGGATAATCCAGGTTCCCTCGAGGGGTGTCCCAGTTAGGGTCCAGGTTCTTAATCCAGGTTTTAGAGTGGGTTTAACCCGGGTTTTCAGGCTCGGATACGATCCATCGGCTTGAGAATAAATTGTGGCCTGCTCGCTCTCAGTTCGGTCTGCTTTAAAGCAGCGGTGACGCAACATCCGTAAAGAGAGCCTGTGTTGTAATTATTTACAACTTCCTGTAAGGCTAAACAATAAAAGCATGGAAGAATAAAATATTTAACCTGACACTTATGTCAGAAACGTAAACACATAAAATATGAGCATGAATGTGTTATCAAATATATGTATATTTTTGAGACTTGCCCAAATGTTGGTGTTTTTTTATCTTTTAATTTTGTACAAAGAGCAACGCTATGCTCACAAAGCAAGAAAGTAGCATATATTTCTTTTAGATGCTTCGTAAAAAAACACAGCCTGTGGAGTTGTGTAAACTATGTGTTGGATTAAAATGCTCTGAACCTTTTAATTTGTAGTGTAAACATCGTCAGTTCCGGTATTTTACAAAATATGACAACTTTTACAAAGCAGCTGGTTTTGGTTATGCTTCCGTTTGGACCAAGATGGTCCATCCGGTCTTCCCACCCGGCTCTTCATCAGTGAGTTCATCATTAGACGTTTTCATTTCATTAAAAAATTAAGAAGTTTATAAATGTTATAATAAAACTAATTGCTTTTTAAACCCTATGTTACAGTGATGTAAACAGATATCGTTCTCAATAATGTAATTTGTCTTATTCATAATAATAATAATAATAATGTTAGCTTCATGTTTCCATGTTTTATGTTAATTAAATCTCAAAAACAACATTAAAATAATATACATAACATTTTGACTGTTTCTTACAGTTTAGTGGTCTTGTGAAAAGTAGCCTAGTGAACTAGACCAAATTCTTGTTTTGCAAAGTTTGTATATATATATATATATATATATATATATATATATATATATACATTTACATATACATATACATATATATATAAGTTTATATATTCTTATATATATATATTCACATATATGGTCTGGCTTGCCAGGCTAGTGAAAAGGACAAAAAGGTTTAAAAGGGTAATTCTGCTATTTCAGACTGCTCACATGAATAAATACAAAATAAATGCATGGCCAAGAAAATATGGAATAAGTAAATACTATGCTAAAAGTTTATCTAAGATGGGAAGAAAGAAAAGAAACACAAGACAACAAATCAACTCTGCGTTCTTTATTCCCTGAACGTAGGAAAATAGACTCACATTAATGTTCTGACTTTTCTCAACCATCACACTTTTTCATTTAAAAAAGAAAAAAAAATCAACGGGGCAAAGTACATGTGCATTTCACTCACATTTATCACCTCCAACTTGAGAATTAAAGTGCAAAATAACAAAACAAAGCCAGCAGGTTACAGATAAAAACAAACATTTAGAGAAGGGAAAAAAAACTGACAAACAGCCACAGAAAACCATGCAAGAAGCTGGCAGTGTCTTCTACAAATGAAATGAAATTTTAAACGATGCTCAGTAAGAAGGAAAAACTGCACTTTAACGAGCTGTACAACTGTATGAAACTGCAAAAAGACACAGCAATAAGCAGAATAAAAAGACAAAATAATGAACAGGAAATTTTAGAAAACACTGATGAATAAAAAAGAACGCCTCTAAGAAGCTGTCTGATGTCGTGGACCCCACTCAGGATGGATTCTGCAATCCTAGTGAGTTTCTGACAGTACATCAGAATGAGAGTTCGCCATCATTACACGACCTGCAGGGTTGACCAGGATCAGCTCGTACAAACGAACATCTCATCATCTCATCACCTTCAGTTTTGAACCATGAAGATTCAAACTGGCTTTAAATTTGGTTTCCATTTTTCCCTTTTTAAATTTGCAATCATTTACAGTTTTAATCAGAGATTAGATTTCTAAAAATATGTTGTTGAATTTGTTCTAGCTTAAATCACTGCTGATCTAGACAAATCAACTCAGCTCTAGTTCAGCTCCTCAAGCAAATGGAACATTCCAAGCAACCTAATAAGACATCTGATTGGTCTAATTTTGAGATGCTTCAACAGCAAGTGAGCAAATAATATATAAAGTTCCTTTTCTCTCCACAATAAATACTGTCTAGCAAATTATTTTTTTTGCTTACACAATTAGTAAAAACTCCAGCATCTGTTTAACAGATCACAAACAGGAAGTGACATCCGAGCGTGTTGTTTGATTAAATCTGATCCTCCAGCGTCAACGAACCACTACCCGAATCCCGATTTTATTTTCTTTGCTTATCTGACCCGTTTCTGGTTTGTTGCTTGAGCAACGTGGCTCCACAGTGAAAGTTTAACTGCCACCAACTCTACTTTTAAACCTTGTTTCCCAAAGCAGGGCCAAACTGGGCCAAACTAAAGCAATTTTAAGTCTGTCCTTCTTTCAGAAGTTGGTTTAAATGTTTAAACTTCGTAAAATTCACGAGAGTAAACCGAACAACCTAGTTCTCACTGGTACACTCCAAGGCTACTGTGCAAGCTAAACTTGATGTTTACGTCAAGGTGTACATAATTATTAGGATGCTTATTTTTTCCCTAAAGGCAAAATGGGCCAAAAACGAGATGAATCAGTCATTCGGGGGGGGGGGGGACATGTTCCAAATTGCCAAGATACGTAGGAGTGATTCTTCTACCATCAAGCATTTCGTTGCAACAGCATGAACCAAACAGGAACCCGTCATCCTCTGGTGTTATCATTGTCCAGGCTCAGAGACGTGGCCAAGGTAGGGACAGACAAAACCTGAACGCCATCGAAAAAGACATGTAAACAATGTAAACGTCAAGACGGGGTCAAGAAGGGTCTGAAGATGATGGACCAGGTGGATGGTTGGACCCATGAATGGATCACAAAAGGGCAGAGAGCTTCAGCTTGTCCCAGACACCAACACGGTGCAGGGTGATAGTGATATGGGCCGGTGTTTTGAAAGAAGACCCAGATGGACCTTTTCAGGTTGCAGATGGACTCAAACCCATCTCCTACCGGCAGTTTGTAAAATACATATTGTGAAGAAGAGGTTCTGTAATAATTTTGATCACTAATATTTTCACACTCGAGCATTCCCCCGATGGTGTTAACACTAATGTTTCCTTTCCATAACATTCAAATCTCAGGTTTATTAACTATTCTGAATTGGCAGATGGTAATTTATTTGTTTTAATGTTTAACATATTCCCCAAGTGTTCAAATGTTCCCACAAAAAAAAAAAGACTTTTAGGTGTTTAAAGATGTTTAAAGACCCAGGAGTCCAAGCTTCAGTCTAAACAAACTATAGCCCTTAAAAAACCTAAAACTCTATTATATCTTCAGTTGCTCACAATAAATTTGTCTTAATGATCTATTAATCAGATGTTGTTTTGGTCTAAAGTAATAGCTTGCAGCTCGTCTTTGGCATTTCATCAAAACATCTCAACAACTAATGGTAACCGTACTTGTCAGTCAAAAAAAACTGAACGTTTGAACAGTTTTTAACATCAGAACTTGTGGCGCCCAACTTTCCTTTCCTTTATCTCTGTGACATTTCTGTCAGATTTTCCAGTTCGACTTGATTAGCCCATTCGGGTCCTGCAAAGGGAAACGGCTGCTGCATAGCCTCAGGTTTCAATCGGACTTTCACAGAAGCAACATTTCACTTTGGGATTAAAGTCGTCCGTTTCAGGGTTTTGGTGAAAACAGTTCACCTCATTGCAATAAAAACTGAGAATTTGAACGTGTCTTTAAGTTTCATTTGTGAGAAAAATTAACAATAGGCAGGAATAATCTATCATTTTAATTGGTGTGATCACTGTTAGTCCTTCTTGGATTAGAAATTCTAGACACATGCCTATAAGATTTGCTTTCAACTCTTTTTTATATACATCTTGAAATCAAGACCAACAAATTCCAAAATTTCTGTTTTAAACTTATCTTGTGAACGTGGCCTTAGACCTTAATGTTATTAATCAGATTCTGAGTTGAAACCATCAAGTTTTAGTTAAATTATTAGTCCAGAATAAAAACTGGTTTATCCGGTAATTCAGTCTTTTTAATATCTCCTATAAACATCTTGTTGCAACCAAACCCCAGAAAGTGCAAAGTTGCTCATCTTCTCCGCTAGGTACTGAAACCTTTTAATATCAGAGTGTATTTTTTTATTTCTGCAGTTTAATTCTGAGTTTAAATGAGGATTATTACTCTGATTTTTTTTGTTATTCTGCAATAAAAATAGAGCCGGCAGCTGTCGGCTTGTAGCAGAGCGCAAGCGTAAAGCAGAATTTTAATATACTCATAAATACTCAACAATGTGTTTTCTTGATACGATAAATTCATAACATACAGACTCTTCAGCTTTCAACAGTGCAACATTAGTTCCAGTTCTGTGTGAGGAAGAGCTGCAGCTCAGACATTTAAGGGACTTTTGGATTTTCTAAATCAGAAAGTTCTGTTGCATCTAAAATGCAAACTCGCTTTTTTTTTATTTATTTATTTATTTGGTGATGCAAAAGGAAATATTTGAACAGTCTGAAATGTTCTTGGTCCCTTTAACTGACCTGGAGCTCTTCGTTTAGACAGAATCAAGAGAAACACACACTCCGCTGCATTCACACACCAGTTCACAAACAGGGTTTTTTATACAATTCTGTGATCACAGAATGGAAAACGATAAAGGACAGACATGAATGTCGAGCCCTCTGTTGTGTAGCACCAACGATGAAGAAGATATCCTCTCGTAAGCGAGAGGCCTTTTGGCAGAGGTTAAAAAATCTAGATACAACCAAATGGGAAACAGGAAGGTTGTTTTTGATTGTTTCATGTAAAACTTCAAAAGAAAAATTCTGTTTAACAACAGATAAGTTAAACTTTCTGTCTTTTCTTGTGTTTTCCTTCTTCCTGAGTCACTACCTTTGAGCTTAGACCGAAGATCTGGTTGAATTATCTGCAAAGTAGCATCAGAGTAAGGCAGAGAGGTGGCCTCCGTTGAGCAAGCCATGGCAGGAAGTGTGAGACAAACACGGCCTGCTAAGAGGTGGCAGAGAAACGTGCAAAAGGCGCGTGGCGACACACAGCCAAGCAGACTAACTGGATATTCACGCAGTCTACATCCTTAGTGCTACAGAAGCTAATAGCACCCATTTATTAATGATTTGTACTGTATCTTAACATATCAGCGCTACGTAGCAGAAATCTTTGTGCTTTGCTCTCCGGTGCCTACGCTGAAGCAGTTTCAGACCAATTAAACTCCACTAAGTTTGTTTGTTTTTAAATCTCAAAAGCTGCACTTCACATTTTCACCTATCTGCATCTCAGCAGGTTCTGCTGAGTGTGAAAGTTTGGTGTTTTGGTGGAAAACCGAGCTTTTAACGCAGGATTTAGAAAATGTTCGGTGGATCTCGTGTTCAGTTTTGTGTTTTTTTCTAAACTGAGAACGTTCAGCTGCTGCGAGTGAGTCCGTTTCACAACACTGTCACATAGCAACACCGCTTTCAGGTGTTATCATGTAATGTCCTCCTGGTTTTTGTGCTGTTCTGTAAAGAAACTGCAGGTCGCAGCGTCGTAGTTAACAGTCGGACATGATCAAAGCGGCGTCTGAGATGGAAATCTCCAATAAACTTTAGGTCAGGATCTTTGACACAGGTGTGAGTCTGGCAATAGAAATACATTTTTTACTATTTTTACTATTTCTATCCTAGTTCATCAAGCAGTTTGATTTGAAACAGAACTTTTTCAGACTGTTTTCCGCTGGCCAGGTGCCGTTTTTTAACAAATATTTTCAAACAATTAGTTTCTTTTAAAAATGTCTGATAAAAATTTACACAATATATTATTTTAAGCAATATTTGTAATATTTTTAATTTCCCTCAAACTCACTGAAATTACACGCCATAAAAGTACAAAACTGTTTAAAACAGAGGAACTGAGCTGCGATTCACATCCAGCCCCTATAACCGGACATTATTCCAGCCTCCATAAACGTCTAGTAGCTAAACTTTATGAAGGATTCCTGCAGCTCAGCTTTGGGGTGCATTCTCAAACGATCCCCAGCTCGTTTTTAAGCAGAGAGAACTTTTTCAAGGCTCTGACCCGTACGTACCTGCTGTCTCTGCCGACTCCGTCAGGGGCCTGGCTATTTACCGCCTCCTGTTCGTGATTCCTGTCTCGTTTACCCTTTTTAAGGGAACTTCTGCCACAAACAAACAACTCTCAGCACAGAAAATGTTGCGAGTAAAAGAATGAGTGAGGCAGGAGGAGTGGACACAGAAGAATCACCGTTTCAGAGTGCTCTGGAGCCAATGGAAGGACAGCGTGTGGATATTTTGGCTTCATTTATCCTGCTTGATTGGCTCTCGGCAGCAGCCAATCTGGGATTTCCACCGATAAGGAGGAGAGGTGCAAGGGGCAAGTTTTAAGCAGATGAGGTAAAGAATAAAACAAAAAGGCGGCTGATGGCAGCTAAAGTCCTTCGATCTCTCAGGAGGTGCCGCGTTCTCCTTCTTCCACCTCCTCCTCAACTTTCACTGTGAAGGAGGGGGAGGAGGGTGGCGGCAGACTGACATTTGGCTCCACTGGGACCAACGTTATCTCCACCTCTCCTTTCCCCTCCAGCGGCATGGGCAGGGGAAGCGTGTTCTGGGGGAGGTGAGGAGGAGCAGAGCTGCTGTTGTTATTGCTCGGAGCTTTCTGGATCACCTCCACCATCGGGGTCCGGCCCGACGTGGCCAGCTCCCAGCTGGGGTTCCCGGGACTCTGGAACACCAGCAGCGACCGACTGTGGTGATCCGGTTCAGCCGCTCTGCTCGCTTGGCACTGTACCACCACCCCGCGGTGCTCCATCAGCCGATGGGTTGGGTCCGACGCCACAGGCAGCTGACTCAGGACCAGCCCCGGTGGGTCCTGGATCACCAGCTCCACCAAAGGCTGCGAGGACGACGAAGAGGAGGAAGCCTTTTGGATGACGCCCCCAGTCAGGGAGGTGATGACTGGAGGCTGAGATAGAGGCAGAGAAGGAGAAGGAGGAAGAGCACTAGGAAATGAGTCTTCAGGACGGGGTTTTCTTGGTCGTCCACGTTTTCGTTTGACAGGAGAGGGGCTGACAGCAGAATCACCAGCAGCAGTCCCACCCAACACTTCCCCCCCCAGAGGGCGTTTAGTGCTGGTCACTCGTGCCTTCTGGACCACAGAGGTGGAAGCAGCCAGAGGGTGCTGCTGCTGCTGCTGAGGAGGAAGAGGAGGAGGAGCAACATTGTCCCTCTCAAAGGACAAACAGCCCTGAGGAAGGATCATCACAGGAACAGGCCCGCCCTGCTGCTGGGGCAGCGTTGCCATGGCAATAACCTTCACCCCACCACTACTGGCTGCAGCAGCAGCGGCAGCAGAGCTTGCATGTCCAGGTGGCCCTCCCACCCCAGAGGCCTCTTTGGGAGCCTGCGAGGGCAAAGAGGAGCGAACAGAGAGGCTCTTATCAGGGATGGAGCTGCGAGGGAGGATTCTGGGTAACTGCTTTATGCGAGCCTCCACCTGCAGCACAGCCAGAGATCAGAATTCAGATTACTCACTGATCTGCTCAATATTATTTCACACAACTAAAACATAACTGCTCCATGTTCTACTCGACATTCAGTTTCCTAATAAAGCAAAGCTGACAAGTCTGAATCAGCATTTGTGCCTCAGCTACACGTTTGGTTGTGTTGACCTACTGCTGGACGCAGAGACGAGGAAGAGGTAGAGGAAGGAGGGGGGGCATCCATGGTAGAATGCTTGGTCGCTGCTGCTGACTGATCTCCAGAAGGAAGCTTCTGTGAGGATGAGGAGTCTCCCGGATCCTTCTTTGAATCTCCAGCTCCGTCCCCATCAGCTTTAGAAATCACAGGAGTTTTCTTGATGACCTTGTAGGTTTTAGCTGGACCACCTGCAAGCAAACAAAAGGGAAAGCTGATAAATCAGTAAACATGGAGAGAAAACAAGAATTTCGACCCTTTAATGTGAATTTTTTCTGTCCTAATGAAGCACCTGCGAGTGCTGCGGAGGTCACCAGCTCAGCCTGGCTGCAGCGAGGGTTGACAATATGCTCCTGGATCAGGTAGCGAGCGATCTCCACCACCGTATCAAAGGATCGCTTCAAGATCTTCTGCGCCCAATCACAGATCAGCTCACACGCCGCTTCTGTCACTTCCTGTTTGTAGGTCTGGACCAGCTCAGTCAGCTCCGACTAGAGAAATAATTTTATTTGTGTAACTGACGCATTAAACTCAGTGAGAGTATCATATAAATACACGTAAAGATACAACGATTAGTATTACTCGTGCAACATCATGTTACGGTTGAGTTAGAGCGTGTACCGGGTCATTCTTGAGGTCCAGGTTGGGCAGAAGAGGCATGTTGAGAACCGTTTTCCTCCTGATGCCGCTGTAGCAATACGTTTCAACCTAACAGGTTAGGGAATTCAACCAGCAACCTCCATACTAACATTTGTCCAAAGAAGTGCAACATTTACAAATTTCATGTGTTTAAAAACAACTCAGAAATGGTAAAACTATGAGACGTTATTTAAAAAGAGGCCTTAAAGAGCAAGTCACCCCCAAATCAACTTTTTTTTCTGATAAACATTATAAATGCGTGTCTAATCGTGCTGCAGACACGTGTGTTCAATAGTTTTGCACTTTAGTGCATTTTAGTTAAAATTTAAATTTTCCGCCTAAAACTGTCAGTGTTGTGTCGTTGTCAGGTAAAACTTCTGCGCTGCAGTTGAATTTAAATCTGCCATCGCTATTGGCTAAGAGGTACCCTAGACCGTTAGCTGGTACCATATGATGTCACAATGTCACTGAGAGCCTGTGTGTGTGACGTGTATTTGTTAGCGGCTCCGCCCTCTCGGTCTGCTAGGCAACAGCATTTGTTGCATTTTTCAAACAGGAAGTGGGAGTGGAGTAATACTCTGGTAGGGGGTGACTTGCTCTTTAACTCATTCACTGCCATTGACGACTAAAGTCATCATTTGCATTTTTTTACTGTTTGAGCATCAGAACGAGCCCCCCCGCTGAGAGAACAAACATCTCAGCCCTGAAGCCGATCTTCATCCGCATACGTCACACGTCACGTGATCAGGAAGCAGACCATCCATGTATTAGGTGATCGTTTTGGGCCGTTCCTGTAAAAAAAGTGAGGCGCGAACCGGAAAAGCGTCTGCCGATCACAATTCAACAACGGATTATGAAAGAACAGATAACGCTCGAAACACATGGATTCTTCCTGATGTAAGAGGTGAGTCTCCGCTTTGTTTTGGTTCTTTTGGCATCGACATCATGCTAGCGCGCAACGTTCTGTGACTCTTGAAAAAACAGTAAAAACGGTGAGAAACACTGGCAGTGAAGGCCGTTAGCGATCAGGAAACGGCTAGCAGTGAATGAGTTAAAAGTTGTCTCCACATAAAGGTTTACTAAACCCTCAGCTGTGTCTGTTAGGTGCAGGCCTGCACACTTGCAGCAGATGAACAAGCGTATCTTACTTGAGTTCTTTTGTGCAACGCTTCTGTTATGAGTTATCTTTTTACCAAAGCACAGATTGAAAAAGCATTATGAGACAAATTTAAATTGAGACTTGATAAGTTTCCTGTCTCCCCCTACTGGCCGAAAGTGGAATTACAACTGTTGTAAAAGACCTTACTGAAGGCTTTGCAGATAACGATGTCGTCAAGACAAAGTGTTGCATTTTGCATGTTTTTATGATTATTTGTTGTTCAGAAACCAAGAAAAAAATGCTAACTTTGCTTGCTAACAATTTAGATGGTTTGAAACTGAAACCAGTGAGTGTAAGCGGCACTGATGTTCACTCTGGTTTTAGTTCTTTGTTTAGTTCACACTTTCTTCGCTTGCCTCCAAAGACATCACTATCTAAAGCCTAGTTTATACTTCTCCATCTGCAGAGATACGGAGATATGCAACATCATTATACATGGACATGGACAAGGATGAACAGAGTAGAGCCCAATTTTCTAAATAGAACAGAATAGAATTTATTGATCCCACAGTGGGGAAATGCACTTGTTACAGCAGCATCAACACTTAACTTATTAACTGCCATTGACGACAAAAAGTTGTCATTTTAAATCCAACCACTCACTGCTATTTGCTTTTTTTTTACTGTGTGGGCGTTGGAACGAGCCCCCGCACCATGAGAACAAACATCCCAGCTCTAATGCCGATCTTCATCTGCATACGTCACACGTCATGTGACCAGGAAGCAGAAAATCCATGTGTTAGGAGATCGTTTTGGGCCGCTGCTGTAAACAAAGTGAGGCTCAAACCGGAAAAGCTTCTGCCGATCACAATTCGACGACGGATTATGAAAGAACGGATAACGTTCGAAACGTGCGGATTCTTCCTGATGTAAGAGGTGAGTCTCCTCTTTGTTTTGCTTGTTTTAGCGTCAACATCATCATAGAGCTCAACGTTCTGTGACTCTAAAAAAACAGTAAAAGCGCTGAAAAACGCTGGCAGCTAAGGGATTTACTGATCAGGAAACGGCTGGTAGTTAATGAGTTCAGAGAAGAGTTTGAAGAAAAATTATAACAAAGGTAAATATTTGTCATAAGCTGACCTGAAAATCAACAACTTTTGTGGTTCGGGTAAGCACTGGTGGAAAGATCTCTACCTGCTTTACTGCAATAACTGTTTATTGTGGTGTTAGCTAATATAAAGATTAGCTTTTTCAGTTCATTGACGTCAATAACAAGCACAAGAAGAAAAGGTATTTTTTATGGAATAAAAGTAAGACATCTTTGTAAAAACCAGAGTGAACATCAGGGCAGCCGATACTCATTTGAGGAAGCTAAAGGAGGCTATGAAATCATGGACTGATGGTGACCTGGCTTTGTTGTTACTTGACTTGAAAGTAATACTAGATTTTGTCCAACAGTGTGGATCTTTTCACTTTGTGGCTTACTCATTACAGGGCTGCCAACTTTTGAACATTTAAATGCGCAAGAGCGGGGGGTGGGGGGCGGACCGTTTCACCCTGTTCACTGATGGGGGGGGGGGGGGGGGTGAATAATCCACGTGACATATTGGAGGTGTGGCGTGAGAGCATGTGAAGAGGGTCAAATGCATGTGTCTCACGCTCAGTGCGTCAGAGTTGGCAGCCCTGCTTAAAATCAGTTGGCTCCTGTTAGCAGTAGCTCGCTTAGCGCTAGCAACAGCAGGCTGCTGCAGGGTTGTTTACGATAGTTGTAACTCTGCTTTCAACCAGCAGAAGGGATAAGCGGGGAGAAGTGTTACTTTAACGCATAAAAATCCCCCTAAAATCACATTTGAATAAACAGAAAATAAGAAAATTAAACTAAAGAGGAGCAGAAAACGTTCCTCGGCTCTCCTCTGAAAGCTCCCGTTTGTCCATCTAGAAGTAGAAAGGATATTTCGACTGTCCTCTGCCCCCGAGACGTCTCGCCTTGATGTTTGGGAAAATGTCTCTGATGATTTTCCCAAAGTTGGCAGCACTCAGAGGACGATGCTGCAGATTCTCACAGTATCTCCTGTAGGACACAAGTCACAGAATAAAAACTGTATTCTTTAACTTAGATCTATTTATGGTTCTTATGCTATTTTTATCCTCCTTTTAATTCTTGGAATTTCTATCTATGTTTCTATATCGTGGTTAGCACCTTGGGCATCCGTTAATGTTGTGGAAGGTGCTTTATAAGTATAATTCCTTTGATTGATTAGATGTGTTTTGGAGTATTCTCACTTATAGGTCTCGTAGACGTCTTGTTTGGGCAGACAGGTGTCTGAGTGCTCCTCCAGGTGGCTGCGGATCCAGTTACAGGTGTGAAGCTGATCAGCTGTGTTGAACGAGCTGGAGTCCCCACCACTGCCACAAACATGAAAATATGGTGTTAAAACTATTAAATAAGAACAAAAACCTTCCTGTAAATAATCACATCACATCAGACTTATGTTCAAAGTTTTTTTTTCCATTCAAAAACAAAGTGAAAACAAACATGACGTGCTTTTATTGACGGTAAACATTTCTAACCTTTTGTCCCCAGAGCTGGGTCCAGGGGGCAGCTGGAGGTACAGGTACAGCTTGTCATTGTCAGAGAAACGCTGAACATCTTGCTGTTGAAGCAGAACAAAACACATCAGGTACCTGAGCAAATGTCAACAAACTGCAGATTCAGACGAAAAACTCTTACCAGGATCTGATCCACTTTGGTCTGAACATTTTTACTGCAAGACAAAAAAAAAACCAATAATCAGAAAAATGTTAAAAACTATTCGGTCATCATCATCATCAATAAATGTGTTCATAGCATTTCAGAAACCAAACAAAAAGGAACAAAAAAATTTTTTTATCAGAGGACTAAGGAAATAGTTGTAAAAGAGAAAGTAAACAAAAATAGAAGTTTATAGAAATCTCCATGCTTACGAGATATTGCTCTTTAGTTTCTGCAGCAGCATGCTGGGCTCTGTGTCACCCTCCACTGCCTCCAGACCACCCTTAGCCTGCTGCGAGGCTTCAGCCCGCTGGTGCCGCTGGTCCTCAGACATCTGGACCAACTAACCGGTGTTGAAAACCACCATCTGAGAACAAACAGGCACAAACCAATTCAGCTTTATCAAATGAACAGTTTGCTGAGGAAGACTAGAGATACTTTACAAATGACCAATTTAGCTAAGTAATATGAAATCATTTAACATAAGTTATGCAGTAGATAGAAAAATAAACACTTGATGGTAATGTCATTTGAATTGGAAAGAATTACAAAAGAACAGATAATGACATTTAAATCAACAGCACCAACCATATACTGTCTTGAAATTACAAATCGACATGTGAGGTCTTCTATTGCCGATAACAATACAGATATGAGGTCAAGATCAACCAATGTCCAATATGTGCTGCCAATTATTTGGGCCAAAATGTCACTAATAACAGTAAATGCACAACTTTTCATAACCTCAGTCAGTGTTTGAACATTGGATTTAACCAAATATTTAATCTTAATCTTTTGCACTGCTCAAAATTAAAATCAAACATTTAACTGCAGAGTCTGTCTGCAGCACCAGGCTGCTTGCGGATGTGCCCGTTTTTAAATTTGCCCTACTAAAGAGGCATATCAGCCATTGCAGATATATAACAATTTTTAAATATCAGTCCGATATATCGGCCAACAGATACATCGGTTTATCCCTACTTGGATTGCATCGGTAGTTTCTCTGTCTACTAAACGTAACGATTTTAAGTGCATTTCTGCTTAATGACAGGGGTGATTTCTGAGTAACAGGTGAATGCTGCAGTAAGGTATGAGATATTAAATAGTTATATTATACACGCAAAAATATAAATAGCTGTTGCAAAATCATAAATGTTAGCTGTCAAATCAGATGTTTACAGCTGATAAGTTTAAATACTGGTTCTGTAGTAATTACTACTTCTAAATATTTAAATATCATAAATAACTGCGATTGACAGTCCTGTGTTAAAGGGGTTATTCGTTTGATTTTAAAAACAATGAGCTGCGATCACCAGGAGGAACAGATATCTGCTGATCGCCTCATTTCAGCACCACACCTCGGTGTAATAAGGCTCTGATTCCGGACCGGTTCCGCCCCGACAGGCTGAAAAAGGCCCGCTGTCTGGCGGATGAGGACATATGTTTGTTGTAGTCAGGGGTGCTGTTAAAACTTCACTACAGCCTGAGCGGGGCGGAATGTTTCTAAAAGGAAAAACACAGGTTGGCCACTACCTCTCCTTACACCCGCTAACAAAAGCTAGAAACGCTGGTCTACCCAGCGGAGCTCCCATGTCAGGTCTGACTGTTGTGTTTACAGCGGGCGTAGCGCCGGTGGTCATGTGCCTGCCATTTACACAACACTCGCACACAAACACTCTGACACAGTTCTACGTGGTAGCTAGCTGGCTAACGGTACCACTAACACGTTTCACCTTGGCTGACAAAAACAATAACATTCGTTAGCGGGGTTGATTATGAACACAATTGACAGACATCGAGTAGACAAAGAAAACGAGAACTTTTTAGTAAAGAGAACAAAGCTAAAGCGGCTAACGCTGACAGTTGCTCGGCTAGCTTGTGGTTCTCGCTAGCTAGAAGCAGCTACATAAAAGCCCCGTCAAACGGGATTTTACGGGTGATTTTTAGCTTCAAAATAACTCCAGATAATAGTTAATAAATTCTGTTATTAATGTATGGTCGACAGGGTGACTCATGTTTCAGTATTTATTTTAAAAAAGAAAAAGAAAGTACCTGAGCCAAGATACAGCAAAAATCCCCTTTCAGATTTTTTTGTGATTGGATGACTTTGCTGTGTCTGCCTAACTACAAAGCTAGCGTCTATTGCGATTGGTCAGCTGTCGAAACTCTACTCAGATACCAAAAGAAGACGAGATTTCATTGGCTGAACAAAAATATTTTTGTGACAGAAATTATTCTGATTGGACGACATTTCCTGGTCTGCCCAGTTACAAACAAGACGTAAGTGAATGTTCCCACAAAATTTTTTTGACTTTTAGGTGTTTAAAGATGTTTAAAGACCCAGGAGTCCAAGCTTCAGTCTAAACAAACTATAGCCCTTAAAAAAACTAAAACTCTATTATATCTTCAGTTGCTCACAATAAATCTGTCTTAATGATCTATTAATCAGATGTTGTTTTGGTCTAAAGTAATAGCTTGCAGCTCATCTTTGGCATTTCATCAAAACATAACAACTAATGGTAACCGTACTTGTCAGTCAAAAAAAAAACTGAACTTTTGAACAGTTTTTTAACATCAGAACTTGTGGCGCCCAACTTTCCTTTATCTCTGTGACATTTCTGTCAGATTTTCCAGTTCGACTTGATTAGCCCATTCGGGTCCTGCAAAGGGAAACGGCTGCTGCATAGCCTCAGGTTTCAATCGGACTTTCACAGAAGCAACATTTCACTTTGGGATTAAAGTCGTCCGTTTCAGGGTTTTGGTGAAAACAGTTCACCTCATTGCAATAAAAACTGAGAATTTAACCCCCAGAGACCCACGGTTGTAATATTACAACATCAGATTTAAGTATACAAAAATAAACCTTCCCCATTTTTTTTTCTTTTTAAAACCACATTTACATTGCTAATAGGTCCTGTTCAGTTCTGCAACACTATTGGCTGTTAAAATGTGTAAATAGGCCTGTTTATCTGGCCTCCTACAACAACATGTGAAAGGTTAAAAAAAGATTTAGCAGTTGTTTTCTAAATTTGGGTTTCTGGGCGTTAAACGTGTCTTTAAGTTTAATCAGTGAGAAACATTAACAATAGGCAGGAATAATCTATCTTTAGTGTGATCACTGTTAGTCCTTCTTGAATTAGAAATTCTAGACACATGCCTATAAGATTTGCTTTCAACTCTTTTTTATATACATCTTGAAATCAAGACCAACAAATTCCAAAATTTCTGTTTTAAACTTATCTTGTGAACGTGGCCTTAGACCTTAATGTTATTAATCAGATTCTGAGTTGAAACCATCAAGTTTTAGTTAAATTATTAGTCCAGAATAAAAACTGGTTTATCCGGTAATTCAGTCTTTTTAATATCTCCTATAAACATCTTGTTGCAACCAAACCCCAGAAAATGGAAAGTTACTCATCTTCTCCGCTAGGTACTGAAACCTTTTAATATCAGAGTGTATTTTTTTTATTTCTGCAGTTTAATTCTGAGCTTAAACGAGGATTATTACTCTGATTTTTTTGTTATTCTGCAATAAAAATAGAGCCGGCAGCTGTCAGCTTGTAGCAGAGCGCAAGCGTAAAGCAGAATTTTAATATACTCATAAATTCTCATTTAATGTGTTTTCTTGATACGATACATTCATAACATACAGACTCTTCAGCCTTCAACAGTGCAACATTAGTTCCAGTTCTGTGGACTTTTGGATTTTCTAAATCAGAAAGTTCTGTTGCATCTAAAATGCAAACTCGCTTTTTTTTTTTTATTTATTTATTTGGTGATGCAAAAGGAAATATTTGAACAGTCTGAAATGTTCTTGGTCCCTTTAACTGACCTGGAGCTCTTCGTTTAGACAGAATCAAGAGAAACACACACTCCGCTGCATTCACACACCAGTTCACAAACAGGGTTTTTTATACAATTCTGTGATCACAGAATGGAAAACGATAAAGGACAGACATGAATGTTGAGCCCTCTGTTGTGTAGCACCAACGATGAAGAAGATATCCTCTCGTAAGCGAGAGGCCTTTTGGCAGAGGTTAAAAAATCTAGATACAACCAAATGGGAAACAGGAAGGTTGTTTTTGATTGTTTTATGTAAAACTTCAAAAGAAAAATTCTGTTTAACAACAGATAAGTTAAACTTTCTGTCTTTTTCTTGTGTTTTCCTTCTTCCTGAGTCACTACCTTTGAGCTTAGACCGAAGATCTGGTTGAATTATCTGCAAAGTAGCATCAGAGTAAGGCAGAGAGGTGGCCTCCATTGAGCAAGCCATGGCAGGAAGTGAGAGACAAACACGGCCTGCTAAGAGGTGGCAGAGAAACGTGCAAAAGGCGCGTGGCGACACACAGCCAAGCAAACTAACTGGATATTTATGTAGTCTACATCCTTAGTGCTACAAAAGCTAATAGCACCCATTTATTAATGCCTCATGAACACCTTCAGCTTTACCCAGCATGTTTCTGGCCCCACACACACCAGGGGACACACTCTGGACCTCGTTGTTACTCTGGGTCTAAATGCTGACAATGTTTGTCCTGAGGACGTTTATATTCCGGATTACCATTGCATTTTCATTAACTTGTCCATTTCTGCGTCCCCACATCCTGCTCGCCATCTGGTTAGTTCTCGTTTTCTTAATGAGAGCACAGCTAGCAATTTTTCTGCCTTCACAGCCTGAAGCGCCAATGCAGAAAAATTGAGCGTTTGTGGAAGAAAACCCATCTCCACGTCCATCTGCTGCACCTAAAGGACCTTCTGTCATCCTTTAACTCTGCAGAGACACCAGGGTTTCCCATTTTTCCAACCTGTTGTCCCAGAGCAAAGGGAACCCCAAGGTGCTGTTTAACACCATCAGCAGCATTTCCTCTCCTGCCTCTCCTACAGCCTCCATCCACTCTGTTGCAAACTGTGAGAACTTTCTGTCTTTCTTTGTGGACAAAGTCAATAAGGTTAGATCTAGCATCTCTCCTTCAGCCTTATCGCTGCCTCTCCCGACTCCAACCAGGCCCAGCATCCTAGCTAGCTTTGCTCCTGTTTCTTTGCCTGAGTTAACCAAACTGGTTAACTCTATGAAGACCTCTGCATGCCCCCTCAACATCTTACCCTCATCTTTGTTTAAAAGTGCTTCTCAGTCCATCGGTCCCAGCGTGCTCTCTATTATTAATGCTTCTCTGGTTTCTGGTCAGGTCCCTGCTTACTTTAAGAACGCTGTAATCCACCCGCTTCTTAAAAAAACGAGTCTCGACCCCTCTCTCCATAGCAGCTTCAGACCCATCTCTAAACTTCCGTTCATCTCCAAGATCTTGGAAAAGGTTGTGGCTAAACAACTCACAGCTGCTCTTGATGAACAGAACATCTATGATAGCTTCCAGTCAGGTTTTCGTAGAGCTCATTCTACTGAAACATCTCTTCTTAGGGACTCTAACGACCTTCTGACTCACAGTGATGCAGGGGACTGTTCTGTTCTGGTCCTGTTGGACCTGACTGCAGCCTTTGACACTGTTGACCATCACCTGCTACTGGAGAGGCTGAGAGACTGGGTAGGCCTATCAGGAACTGCTCTGTAGTGCTTCTCCTCTTATCTCTCTGAGCGCTCCTTTTCTGTGGCCGTCTTCAAATTTAGGTCCTCCACCACCTCCCTTACCCATGGTGTCCCACAAGGTTCTATGCTGGGACCTCTGCTCTTCCTCCTCTATCTGCTTCCTCTTCAGCACATCCTGAGCTCCTTCAAAGGAATCTCCTACCATCTTTACGCAGATGACATCCAACTGCACATCAAAGCTAACAAGTCTGAATCAGCATTTGTGCCTCAGCTACATGTTGGGTTGTGTTGACCTACTGCTGGACGCAGAGACGAGGAAGACGTAGAGGAGGGGGGGGGCATCCATGGTAGAATGTTTGGTCGCTGCTGCTGACCGATCTCCAGAAGGAAGCTTCTGTGCGGATGAGGAAACGACAGTTTTATTGGCATCTAGCAAGACCCAAAAAGGGGTTGTGATGATTCAGCTTTTATTCTGAAAGGAACCGTTGCAGCAGGTGGAACAGCAACAGATTTTATCCAGCTTGCCGTTGGTTCTTTTGGCTGAAGAGGAAAGTTGCAGATTGGCCACTCTGAAAACTTCTCTAGAAAGCTTTGAACTGGAGTTAAAGATGACGTGGGCATAGTTTTATAATTTGGATGTTTTGATTTATGGTTCAATCAAAAAGGGACAGCTTTACCAAGCGCCACCAAAACCTCGCCTCGCATCAGACCTGGAAGGTTCTGAATGGATCAGTAAAAGCAATGTGTCATGTGACTTTACGTGTAATCAGTCTCTAGTGGTAGCATTTAAAGTTTTATTACTTATTATATTCTATAGGATTATAATATTAAGTAATTAATATTTTCATTTCACAGATTGGTTCACATTTTATTATTGACTAACACTTTGTTTGATTAGCTTTATTAAAAATTTAGTTCTTTGATTTATTAAAAAGAAAGAGTCCTTTGTCTTCATTCTTCTCTTGAGCTGGAAAGGAAGAAACAGTTTAGAAGCAGAGCATGAGACCTTGAGCAATATCTCATGCAGATTAGTTCTTGCTGAGGAGAGGGGGGGAAATGACTTAGGTGGAAAACAGTCATTTCATTCTGTTACATTTACAAAAGTAAGAATTTATTTTGCAAACTATTAAAACTTGACAAATTGGTTAACTATTATTTACAGTGAGTGGATGGAACTAAAGGTGATGTCTGGAACCTATGTGTGAATGCGATGTTGGTCAGAACTTCCGTATCTCTGAGAGCTGCGTTCTGGATGTAAGAGTTTGGTTTGTATTAAGCTATGAGGTTGATAGTTATCAAAACCACATCAAGACGCAATCTCACTGTGTTCTACGTACCCCAGTGGAGACGTCCTTTTCGGATCCGAGATGTCAGGGAGGGGTCGGAGGCCCCAGGTACCAAAGTCTGTAGATTAACTGCAGTACGACCAGGTCAGTCCAGAGTCATCTTCCAGGTAACGACAGTTGGAACTAGTTTGCATCTCAGGAATAACTCTCAAGGAGTTGAACAAATCAGCTTGATCTGCAGGACTATCTTGTTGTATCAGCTTCTCAGGTGCAAAAAGGTTTTGATGACGTGTCAAGAGCTTTGGTGGGTTAAAGACGTTTTTGCTTCAGGTGGCCGGCCTGAAGCTTCTCTAGAACTGAAGAATCACCAGAGTGATCTGGTTTTAATGTTCTCATGTTATGATTGTGTAGCCAACCAGAGGTTGACAAGTTTGAGGATGTTACCAATAATCTCAGAAACATGCCTTCTTTGATGCGAAGGCTCTGATCTGGGGTAAAGGCTAATTATGTGTCATGGATTGAACTTTACCTTACTTTGTTCTTGTGTGAGTGCAAATGTTATGACCTTGTCAAGTAAACATGCTGAAACATACATCATTGAGCACAGATTAATGAACATTTCATTATTTTATAATTATTATAAGTAGCAATAAACAAACGTTTATTTAATGATTATCTAGCATGTAAATTTTTGAAGTTCATATTTCATTTTAAAAATCTTCTTTCTTCTTTTCTTCTGTGAGCAAGGAGACTTAGATAAAAGGGTGCTCTGTGAGGGACCTTGGAATGAGAGAATATCATTGTTATGATTTCATTATCTCTGTCAGAGCTGCCGGTGTCGGTACAAGATCTGCTCGGGTGCAAGATCGGCTCGGGGTCCTTCGACTGCCGATGACGTCAAAGTACGGCAAACCCACTCGGACAAAATACACTACACATCTTTATACTGTTGGAAAGAATTTTGCAGTTTTGTTATTAAAATAATGTTTCTTACGATGCAAGTTTGTGTTTATAATGGTATTTGTAAAATAAAACACTATGTTGTATTCATGATGAACTCCTCTTTGAGCACATCCCTTGAAGGATCGTAGGTATTAGCAACGCCTGTGAAAATGTATTTGCAGGAAAGAAGTGTGTCCCGTTTATTGAAGTATTTGTGTTTAGAATTTTTGACGTCTTGTCCATGCGTAGTTCAGTTACGCTCATAGCTGCTAGCCAAAACTCTGGAGTTAAAACTTTTCTAGCTTTACTAAAATACCTGTCTGTAGTTATTTGATTGATGGTAGTTTTACTTTCTATTAGACTCCAAATGTAATCATTTGGCACGTTTCTAATTCATAATTTGTAAGAATGTAATCGGTGATATTAGCATTAGCATTCCTATGGGTTTTTCCATGTATATTAGCGTTGCGATAACCACTCGCTGCCAAATTGCAGCCTTTGCGATTAGAAAATCTCCTTTTGTCACATCGCAATTTAATTGCACATGCAGTTAATCGTTCAGCCCTAATATACATGCAGCTCTATGCTAAAAGTGTATTTTCAAAGAGGCAATGATGGATTTCTTTGTAAAAGTTGTCCATCTTTCCAACAGAAAAATTTGCCTGGACCAACGTAACGTGATAACAACGTAACGTGATAACAACGTAACGTGATTACGTAACTTCCGTAAGGTTCATGTTCAGCCAATCAACTACTTTGACGTCATCGGCAGTCGAAGGACCCCGAGCAGATCTTGTACAGACACAGGATCTGAGCTCCAGCTGGTGAGGAAGGCAAGCTGATTTAAAGGGAACACATGCAGTCTCGTGTCTCCTTTTTGACCAGATGTTGAAAGGTCAAACAGTACCTAAACTGACCATTGCTGGACGTTACAGGCGCGACCAACCCGGATCTGTCAGATCCACCGGGTCGGTCACGCCCACCTCCTCTGGCTGGTCTTTGGAGAAGGGAATCCCAGGTGCGAGACATCTGATAGGCCCCATCGTCTCTGTTCATGTTCCAATGCTCACGTTTCCTTATTTCTACAGCCTCCCTGACCCAACGTTTGAACTGGTTGTTCTCCGTGTTGATAATTTTCCCTTGATCCCAGTCCATGATGTGATAATTTTGTTTGCAGTGATCTAAGATGGCTGACTTGAGGGTTTGCTCCTCTGCTTTTTTTGTTGTTGTTCTTGTGAGTCTTTGTTGTTTCCTTCTCGCATTCCTTCTGGTGCTCTTTTCTTATGGTGTCGTATGTTCTGCATCTACAAATGGTCACGGGTGCATTTTTTCCAGGTCTTTAAATTACCATACTTATACCTGCCTCATTTAGGATGCCATTTCCAATTTGATCACTGGACAACACTGATGAGTATACATTTGGTTATTGCTGGTGATTTTAGTGTGGTTTGGTGACGTTTTGCCTTTCAGAGACACCCAGTGGGTAGAAAAGATAGAAAGCATTTACAGAAAATGATCAGCATTACATGAAACGGATTAAACCAGGAAACCTACACATTTTTAATCAACACATTTTATTTTCCATTAGAAAAATGTCCATAAACAGAAAAAACTAAACTGGGATAGATAAGTTGAAAGTGAGAAGCTGTTTTGATGTTGCAGGGAACTAGTTGCTGTTTGTTTTCAGTCAAACCCACTGCAGGAAAAAAAAAATACACAAAACAAAAAAATTTATACATTTCAGCATCCTTCACATGATCCTGACAAAAACAAATGGCAACATTTTGTGTCAGAGATTTCATTTTTACAAAAAATAAATCTTGACCCCCTACCTGATCAGATGAGCGATGTCCCAGTTGGTTTCTGATGATAGAGGACCAATGATCTCCACGCCCTCCTCTGTTACTATGGCAATCTCATGCTAAAATTCAGACATCATATAATACATCAAACACTATAACACTTGTCTCTAAGAGTTCTCTCAATCTATTAAGTTACAATTTGCCGGGTTCCTTAGATAGGAAACTACTGAGGCTGAGTATTAGGAAAAGATAGCCAGCGCAAGATAAAATGAGCAATTTCAAGCACACAAGAGTGATCTTAGATCTGGAATTAGTCTGGGATGGAAAGTGAACTCACCCTGTTGTAGGAGCGAGCGTCTCTGTAGTACAGCACCTTGAGGCAGCGCTCCACCAGGTCCCGGGCCTCCTGTTTGGTAATCTCCGCCTTGTTCTCCACCACTTCCCTCATCAGTGGCTGTAAACACAAACGCACACAGTCTGTAGGCTGCACTCTTAAAGCAGAGTAAGACATGACAATTGTGATACTAAAACATATGAAAGTATATAAATCAGAGCAGATCTATTCTTAAACAACAGATGAAGCAAATATGAAGTCTTAGAGTAAAACGTAGAAGTTGAAGCTGTTATGGTACAATATGATTTGGGTTTTCACTCTGAACTCTTATGAATCTTCCTCTCTGTAACTTATTAGCTTACAAACGTGGCAAAAGCTTTTTGTTTCCATGTTCCAATTAAGCTGTAATTAATATCACTTAATTTACTTGTTGACTTTCTAAACAGGAACTCACCTGAGCCAGGTATGCTCCAAAGCCTGTGGCTACTGTGGGAGCCTCATAGGCTACACCAAGCTTGTCCACATAGCCCAAGAAACTACATAAGAAATATTCAAACAGTTAATTACATCTCCAAAAACAGCTAAGAGAATGAATCTGATGTATCCTAAATGTTGTGTCTAGATAATTTGGGACACCTCACCTCTCCCCATTGTAGAAACCTCCAATGACAACCGTGTTCCACAGTGGATTCATCTTGCTACGACGGTTGTACATCACCCTGGTCAGCCAGGAGTGGATGGCCTTTGGACTGTAGCTGTGGCCATCACCGAGCAGCTCTTCATCAATCCTAACAGAACAAAGCTTTAAGAAAGTGCATTTTACACAAGCTGCAGAATGTTTTTCTGATCAGCAGCAGCTTACACCATCTGTTCGATGACTTGTTTCAGGTACTGGTAGTCAGCGTAGTCACCTGATGCCCCCAGGATGGTGTTGTCGTTCACCTGCAGCAAAAATGCAGATTTAAGAGACTTTCACTCATCAGTGAGTCCTTTGTCAGTAGCGGTCATCACCTTCATTAAACGAGAAATGTTCCTGAATCGAGCCAGAGAGCCATATGAGCCCAGCATGTCAGCAGCGATGACTACGCCACCTTTGAACTTCACACCAAGCACCGATGTCCCGGTCACCATCGGGTTACTGTAGAAAAGAGAAATATATGTCAGAATAAAATCAATTTAAGGCTTTGCTGAAATTCCTCCCAGATTAGTTCACATACATTTTAGTTTAAATCTTTTCTCTGAAATTCAAAAAATAACTTAATAAATGTTACGTTTGTTATCGCCTTTCCAGATTATGTTCAAAGTTGACAAACTTTAACTGATTTCAAAGGATTCGCAACAAAAAGCATGATTAAATTTGAAAATACTCTTGATTAAACAAGTTAAAGGCCCAATTTTTAATACTATTATGCTTGTCAACTTCTTTCTTCAGTCAGCACAATTCAAACCACTACCTAAATTCGTTTTACTTACTAAAAGAACAGGATCTTTTTATGACTAGAAACAAAAACAAAGTTCTGGCTCGGCTAACTAAGCTAACACATTAAGAGTGAAGGAAAAACAAAACCCGAAACCGAAAAAAACGTTTTCTAGCAAATAAAAATATATACAATATTCTCTAGGTAAAGACAAAATATGAGTCTAATACTTTACAGAACAGTAAAACTGATGCAAATTGACGGTGAATTTAGCATCGGTTAGCAGCCATGATGATGCAGCACAGCAGCGGAGTTCAAACCGAAACCGATTCCGCCGTTTAGATTTGTTAACTTTCACACCGATTCAGTTTATAAAAATGCCGTTTACTCACAGCGTGTGTCTAACCGGACCACATGATGTACTGCTACCGGGAAAAGAGTAAAATTGTCCGGGCTTTGGTCCGTTTTCCCAAAAACTCAGCTTCGTTCCGTACGACTCCATGTTGAATGTGGAGGAAGTGACGACACAGAGACGTTTTTTTAAGAGAACTTTATTTATACAAACTAATTTGACAGATGAAACAAAGATTGTTATAACTTTTCAATAAATTATTACAACTGAAACTTTAAAGGATGGTTAAGTCAGCATTAGAAGGTGAATTTATTTCTTCCATTTTAAAATTTCTACCCGACTTTTGTATTTTTGTAAGTGTCATGTTTTCTAAAACAGTCAAATGTCTAATTGTGAAATAATTTAATATTTACACCAACATAAAATTTAGGAAAAATAACAGAGATTTTCTTTTTTTTACGTCAAGAAATAAACAAAATGCCCGTTTCCAATAATTGCATATTATTGACTTTTAAACAAAGAGAACATTGTAAAATGTGAATTTTGGGGTCATTAGTTTAAAATTATGTGATATGTTAAAAAAGGAAAGTTGCTGTAGCAACTTTGGAAACAAATTAGCGTAAAACTCTTTTTCATGCCTCTGAACAACATTCTAACATTACTGTTGCTGTTTACTGGTATGTACATTTGTGCAGATACCAGTAAACATACTGTAAACATACCAGTAAACATTTTTTTAATAGCTGTCCTCTTTGCTGACCATAGTCTACATATGAAGCTTGTTTTTATTAACACTTTAATGTCCACACTAAGAAAAAGTAATGATGAAAAAAATATGTATCCTTTTATCTTTTATTCACTTTGGGACTCCCCTAGTTGTAATTTATTAAAAAATAATAACCTAAATTATTATTATTATTATTATTATTATTATTATTATTATTATTTATTACTTAATTAATTAATTAATTAATTAATTAATTAATTAAGTAATTAATGTGAGCCAATAATATTTAAACATTTCTGTGCATGTTTCAGTAAGATTTGGGGACAAAAGCATGCTCAGAGGGGGTGACCTGGCAGCCAGAGCATTACAATAAATTAGTTTCATATTTGGAATCTACCTTTTCTGAAACCGTAGGCTCTATCACCGATATACATTTCACAGGATTATTAAGTTCTTTAATGTGTGCCATACATTTTGTAATATTGCTGTAAGAAATTGAAAGTGTAAATTTATCCAATAATCCAGACCTTCAAAACAAGAGCATCTGTCAAACAGCAGCTCAGGTCAGCTGTACAATCCACCAACAGCATACACAAACACACACATGTGGGCTGCACTCAGCAGGTAGCAACACGCACGCTGCAGTTTCAACCCAGGCACGCCTGCTTGCACAGTCAGAGTTGCCACAGCAACCAGGCGGATCCCTTATTGCTGCAACACACCACACCTTCATTGTCCTTCTAGTTGAAGTACAGACATACACACAAAGAGGTGAAAGACCGGCGGTGGGGGGTGTGTATGTAGGCAGTCAGAGTCCACTTGTAAAATCATCAGTCCTCAGGTGTGGAGCAAGTTCCTTGGTTTGTTCAGAATCCGTCTCACCCACCTCACCTGTCTCTCCTCACCTGGCAGTGGACGGGCTGAGCTGTAAGTCTGTTCCCTTCTACTCCTCAGGCTAAACTCTTCTCTGTGGAGTCGTTTCTCACCACTTTCAGATTTCAGCTGTTCGGTCATTTGTCCTCAAACGTAATCCGTCAGATAAGCGTAGGATCAGTTCAGATTAGTAGTTAAAAAGCAAAACAGGAGTGTGTGAACAGGGTTTGTTTAGTTCCAGTGAGCTGAAAACTTAACGCAGTTATATTTAAAACTGCATTGTGTCAACAGGTTTGACTTGTTTTAGTTGATTTAGGTTTCAGCAACATTCCTGGCTTTATTCATTGTATCCAATCAGTCACTTAATTTTTCTCTTTATTTGTGCTCATCTTACAGAAATCAGCTTAGTCTTTCGTTTTTACAAAACACTAGATTGACTGATGAAATTAACTAGTTTCAGATTTATTTGATGTTTATCACAAGTGTCCAGTACTTTTGCTGCTGACAGCAAATCTCTCGGTTTTACATACTGCGTTTGTTTATTGAAAACAGGTTTAAAAAGGGACTCTGTGGTTCTTTGGTTTTGCTTGTGATTTATTAGCTGTCAGCATTATTTCAATCTGATCTCAAAGCTAAACATACTTTACAATCTAACCAGTGTTCAATGTCATTTATTTCAATTATTTGCATCAGAAACAGCATGGAGGCAAGAAAAGAGAAACAAGAAGAGACAACATCAAAGTAAGAGCTCATTCTTAAAAGATAAATCATTTTTTGAAATACTTTTACTGCCTGAAGTTTAAAGCTCAAGTGAGGATTAGTTTCTCTGTTAGTTAAAACAAAAGTTTAATAGAAACTCTCAGAAAATAATCACTTATCTTTACTTGAGGAGTCAAACCCATTCTCTTATCTAAAAGTTTGTGGCGTTCAAAGAATTTCCTAATGCTTTACTCCACTAAATTATTCTTTAGTGTCTAATTTGACCACTTTCCTCGTGTTTCTAAAAGCAGAACATTTCTGGTAGATCATAACGATGATCAGAGTAGAACCACCAGCAGGATGACGTCCACAATCACAGAAAATAATGCTGAAGCTTCTGGAAATACTTCAACAACAAACACAAGTCTCTCTGCATCCCATGAGGATCAACCAGGTACTAAAATGTTTGAAAATACACAATTAAAGTTGTGATCAGAGTGTATCAATAATTTTAACTCAAATGTTGTTAAAATGCCAGAAAATAAACTAAGATAATTAAAGGATTGCAACAAAGGTGCTGTAGTAAAGCACATGTTTGTAGTTTGACTGATTAAATTAAACAAACTGTTGGAATGATTGGATAAATCTCAACCGTCGTCGTCGTCTTCCTCCGCTTATCCGGGTCCGGGTCGCGGGGGCAGCATCCCAACTAGGGAGCTCCAGACTGTCCTCTCCCCGGTCTTCTCCACCAGTGCCTCCAGCAGGACCCCAAGGCGTTCCCAGACCAGATTGGAGATGTAACCTCTCCAGCGTGTCCTGGGTCGACCCGGGGGCCTCCTGCCGGCAGGACATGCCCGAAACACCTCCCCAGGGAGGCGTCCAGGAGGCATCCTGACCAGATGCCCAAACCACCTCAACTGGCTCCTTTCGATCCGGAGGAGCAGCCGTTCTACTCCGAGTCCCTCCCGAATGTCCGAGCTCCTCACCCTATCTCTAAGGCTGAGCCCGGCCACCCTACGGAGGAAACTAATTTCGGCCGCTTGTATCCGTGATCTCGTTCTTTCGGTCATTACCCAAAGCCCATGACCATAGGTGAGGATTGGGACGTAGATCGACCGGTAAATCGAGAGCCTGGCTTTCTGGCTCAGCTCCCTCTTCACCACGACAGATCGGCTCAGTGTCCGCATCACTGCAGATGCTGAACCAATCCGCCTGTCGATCTCCCGATCCCTCCTACCCTCACTCGTGAACAAGACCCCGAGATACTTAAACTCCTCCACTTGAGGTAGGACCTCTCTCCCGACCCGGAGTTGGCAAGCCACCCTTTTCCGGTCGAGAACCATGGTCTCAGATTTGGAGGTGCTGATCCTCATCCCAGTCGCTTCACACTCGGCCGCGAACCTACCCAGCAAGAGCTGAAGGTCAGAGCTGGATGAAGCTAGGAGGACCACGTCATCCGCAAAAAGCAGAGACGAGATTCTCCTGCCACCAAACTCGACACACTCCACACCACGGCTGCGCCTAGAAATTCTGTCCATAAAGGTAATGAACAGAACCGGTGACAAAGGGCAGCCCTGGCAGAGTCCAACCCTCATACTCCTGGAGCGTCCCCCACAGGGTGCCCCATGGGGACATGGTCATAAGCCTTCTCCAAATCCACAAAACACATGTGGATTGGTTGGGCAAACTCCCATGCCCCCTCCATCACCCTTGCAAGGGTATAGAGCTGGTCCACAGTTCCACGGCCAGGACGAAAACCACATTGCTCCTCCTCTATCTGAGATTCAACTATCGATCGGACCCTCCTCTCCAGTACCTTGGAGTAGACCTTTCCAGGGAGGCTGAGGAGTGTGAACCCCCTATAGTTGGAACACACCCTCAGGTCACCCTTCTTAAAGATGGGGACCACCACCCCGGTCTGCCACTCCACAGGAACTGCCCCAGATGACCACGCAATGTTGCAGAGACGTGTCAACCATGACAGCCCTACAGCATCCATAGCCTTGAGATACCCAGGACGAATCTCATCTGCCCACGGGGCTCCACCGCTGTGTAGTTGTTTGACTTCCTCAGCAACTTCTGCCCCCGAGATTGGACAGTCCATCCCCAGGTCTCCCGGCTCTGGTTCCTCCTCGGAATGCGCATAGGTGGGATTGAGGAGCTCCTCAAAGTATTCCTTCCACCGTCTGACTATAGCCTCAGTTGACGTCAGCAGCTCCCCATCCCCACTGTAAACAGTGTGAGTGAGTTGCTGTCTCCCTCTCCTGAGGCACCGGACAGTTTGCCAGAATCTCTTTGGAGCCAATCGATAGTCTTTCTCCATGGCGTCACCAAACTCATCCCACGCCCGAGATTTTGCCTCGGCAACTGCCACTGCTGCACCCCGCTTGGCTATACGGTACCTGTCTGCTGCCTCCGGAGACCCACAGACAAGCCACGCCCTGTAGGCCTCCTTCTTCAGCCTGACGGCTCCCTGAACCTCTGGTGTCCACCAGCGGGTACGGGGGTTGCCACCATGACTGGGACCAGCCACCTTGCGACCACAGCTAGCAACAGCCGCCTCAACAATCGCAGAGTGGAACAAGGCCCACTCGGAGTCAATGTCCCCCACTGCTCTTGGGACACGGTCAAAGCTCTGCCGGAGGTGGAAGTTGAAGACCGTCTTAACAGGTTCTTCTGCCAGGCGTTCCCAGCAGACCCTCACTATGCGTTTGGGTCTGCCAGGTCTACACGGCATCTTCCCCTGCCATCTGATCCAACTCACCACCAAGTGGTGATCAGTTGACAGCTCCGCTCCTCTCTTCACTCGGGTGTCCAAAGCATACAGCCGCAAGTCTATCATCGACCTGCGACCTAGGCTGCCCTGGTACCAAGTGTACCGATGGGCATCCTTATGTTCCAACATGGTGTTCGTTATGGCCAAACTGCAGCTTGCACAGAAGTCCAATAACGAAACACCACTTGAGTTCAGATCAGGCCTCCCAATCACACCCTTCCAGGTCAAGCTGTCATTGTCCACGTGAGCACTGAAGTCCCCCAGCAGGACAATGGAGTCCCCTGATGGAGCACTATCTAGCACTCTTCCCAGGGACTCCAAAAAGGGTGGGAACTCTGAACTGATATTTGGCCCATAAGCACAAACAACAGTCAGGACCCGTTCCCCGACCCGAAGGCGCAGGGAAGCTACCCTCTTGTCCCCCGGGGTAAACCCCAACACACAGGCAGAGTCTTGGGGCTAACAAAAAGCCAACCCCAGCCCTCCGCCTCTCACCTGGAGCAACTCCAGCAAAGGAGAGTGTCCAAGTCCTCTCAAGGACTTGGGTTCCAGAGCCAATGCCATGTGTCGAGGTGAGTCTGACTATATCTAGGCGGTACCGCTCAACCTCTGCCACAAGCTCCTGCTCCTTCCCCGCTAGCGAGGTGACGTTCCATGTCCCAAAAACCAGTTTTCTTGTCTGGGGATCGGACCGCCAAGGCTCCCGCCTTGGTCTGCCACCCAATCCACACTGCACCGGACCCTTCATGTTCCTCCTGTGGGTGGTGGGTCCACAGTTGGATGAGCCCATGTATCCGGTTCGGGCCGGGCCGGGCCGGGCCCCATGGGCGAAAGCCCGGCCACTAGGCCCTCGCTCACGGGCCCCAACCCCAGGCCTGGCTCCAGGGTGGGACCCCGGTAACCCTCTGGGCCGGGTACTCCGACTCTTTGACTTTACCTCCATGAAAGATCCTGTGAACCGTTCTTTGTCTCAACCTTCACCTAAGACCAATTTGTCATGGGAGACCCTACCAGGGGCACCTGGTATGGGAGATCTCAACCTTGTTCCTGAAATAAAATTCTGACTTGCAGCTTATTTCTGATCATCTCTTAACAGAAGACAAGGAAGCAAGAGGACACAATGTTGCCTTGGCGATGACAGATGGCGACCCAGCAGGTAAGACTAGATACATGTGTGTTAGTCTTACAAATGTGTTGTTTGTTCTGCTTTATTCTGAGCAAAAACTCAGCCTCAGCTCCTAAAACTCACGAGTTCTCATCAAGTTCTCTTGTTTTACAGTAAGAGACGACCAACAGGTGTTTGAATTCCATCCAGGTAGGTCTACAGCCTTTTTCCATCCTAATTCTTCCGGTTTCCCATTTTGGCTTCCCATCTTTGTTTTGTCCATCAGGAACTGAGGAATCTGAGTCAGAGAACAAATCATTGTCTCTAAGCAACAGCAGACCAGGTAAACAGGAGATGATCCTCTGGTTTATCATCTTTTTTTTTTTAATTTTACATCACAGCCTGTGTTATTCTGCAGCTCCTCCCAGCTGTCTGGCTCTGTCCGGGCCCCGGCCCATGAAGAAGAAGGTTCTAACAGCTCCAGAGCTCAGTTTGTCTTTAGGTAAAGTTTTTTTTATTATTTGTGCCATATTTATTTAATCAGCTTTACATCTGTCTCAGTCATGTGATGATATTTCTTCTTCAGGTGGAAGCATGTCGATGGCCTCTGATGACTTCCCCTCGGGCCTCCTCTCCCCGTCACCTGAAGATGCAGACGCAGACGACGCTGGACTTGATATCGACTTGGATGCCATAGAGACACCATCTGACAGCGAATCACTGCACTTCCCCATCTATGACTTGGACCTTGAAGGTGAGGGGTCAGAGGTCAACTTTAAGTTTAACTCATGTGGTGTACCAACCTGCCTCAAATCCTCCATTATGGTCCCAGTACCTAAAAAGCCATGGATCACTAGACTAAGTGACCACAGATCAGTGGCCCTGAAATCAGTAGTCGTGAAGACTCTCGAGTACCTGGTTCTGTCTCACCTCAAAGAAATCACAACCCCCCCTTCCTGGACCCCATGCATTTTGTCTAGAGAGTCAACCGATATGTAGATGACACAATCAGTCTTGCCCTCAACTTCATCCTGCAGCATCTGGACTCCTCAGGAACCCATGTAAGAATCCTGTTTGTGGAGACTCGGACCACTAACATTGGAAACCCACAGGGCTGGGCCCTCTCCCCTCTGCTCTTCTCCCTCTACATCAACTGCTGCACCTCAAGTCACCAGTCTGTGAAACTGGTCAAGTTTGCAGATGACACCATCCTCGTTGGCCTCATCTCAGGCAGGGATCAGTCTGCGGAGGACAGGAGGGAGGCAGAATGTCTGGCGTTCTGGTACACCAATAACAACCTGGAGCAGAAGATAGTGGAGATGATTGTGGATTTCAGGAAAGTGTCAGCTCCACTGCCCCCAAAAACCCTGACAGACACCCCTATGGTAAATGGTAAATGGCCTGTATTTGATATAGCGCCTTCTAGAGTTCTTGAAACCCCCCAAGGCGCTTTACAACACAATCAGTCATTCACCCATTCACACACACATTCACACACTGGTGTGGATGAGCTACAATGTAGCCACAGCTGCCCTGGGGCGCACTGACAGAGGCGAGGCTGCCGAGCACTGGCGCCACCGGTCCCTCCGACCACCACCAGCAGGCAACGTGGGTTAAGTGTCTTGCCCAAGGACACAACGACAGCGACAGACTGAGCGGGGCTCGAACCTGCAACCTTCCGATTACGGGGCGAGCACTTAACTCCTGTGCCACCGTCGCCCCAACTGTGGGCTCCTTCCACTTTCTATGGACCACCTTCACCTATGAACTCAATTGGGAGATGTCCATCAGCTCCCTCATTAAGAGGGCCCAGAAAAGATGATGCCAACCATGATGATGGTCCAGTTCTATATGACCATCATCGAGTGCCTGGTCCTCCTCCATCACTGTAGGGTGCGGAGGGCCACTGCCAGGGACAAGCAAAGATTGCAATGTGCGATGCGCACAGCAGAAAAGGTGATCGGAGGCAACCCCCCATCAATCCCCAATCGGCTCACCTCCAAGGTTCTGAGACACGCAAGTTGGATTACAGCTGACCCATACAGTACCCTCAGGGAGGAGGTTCAGGTCCTTACAGACAAGAACCTCATGCTACAAAAGTAGCTTCTTCCCCTCTGCTGTAAGACACCTATTAACTGTTTCAACCATCCATTTGTGTTTTTCTTGCTATGTTAATTATTTCTGATGACACATTGGAGCACGTACATCTCCAATCAGGCCCGGGAACGCCTTGGGGTCTTGCTGAAGGAGCTGGTGAGATGTCCTGCTTGAGATGCTACCCCCGTGACCCGTACCCGGATAAGCGGAAGAAAACAAATGAACGAACAAAATTCTGATGTGTCCTATTTTATTTATTGCCTGACTTGTATGTATGTTTGCACTCTGTCACTGAAACAAACTCCCCATAAGTGAGACTCTCACTTACCTGGCAATGAACGTGATTCTGATGTCTGGCCAAATGTAGACTATCTTTATGACTCTCAAGAATGGTTGTTTTCCAGATGATCTGCAACGTCTCGGTGTGGCGTCCCATCACCACAGACGGACGGGCTCCAGGTCCAGGTCCAGGTCAGGCTCTCAAAGTGGTTCTCTACCAGGGACTGACCAGAGTGGACTGGGAGCTATGGACAGAGAGGATGTGGTGGATGCCGAGGGCACCAGGTGGCGCTGCTTCTCCACAGGCGACCCTCCGCAGGAGTCTCGAGTCAACATGAGCGTCCTGGAGCCCTTCCTCAGGGTGCTGTCACATGGAGGTACCCCCCTTACCTGCACTCAAGTCCACTTTTGTCACCTGTAGACCTGAAATGTAACAGCTGCTGCCATCTCTCAGGTTACTATGGAGACGGGATGAATGACATCATTGTGTTTTCCTCCTGTTACCTGCCAGAGAACACCTTGGAGAATTATCAATATGTGATGGACAACCTGTTCAGGTGAGCTCATAGATCTGCTCCTAAAGTATTTAATTAGGAATATGAGAGCAAGACTGCACATCTTAACTGGTCCAGGCCAGTACAGCACCAGTAACTCCCAGCTGACTTCAGGATGTCATCAGTTGATGAAGCTGATAACAAAGCAGATTGTTGATGATTAGGTCCAATTTTTGTTTTGTTCCTCAGGTTCATTGTTGGGACTCTAGAGCTGATGGTAGCAGAGAATTATGTGATTGTGTATCTTTGTGCCGGAGGTCAGAAGGAAAAACTTCCAAGAATCAGTTGGTTGAAAGAGTGTTACACCACCATCGACAGGAGGTAACAAACACAGCGAGACAGAAAATGTTTTTAGTTGGTCAGCTTATTTGAGCTGCAAGGTCATTTGTGAAGTAATTCTCAACAAACACAAGTGCATTTTTTTTTATTAATGTGTTTAATATGTTTATAATGATGTGATACACTGTGAACTGATATCCATTAATAATAAAAAATAAACTGGCAAAAATAATTCAATTCAATTCAATTCAAGTTTATTTACAAAGCGCCAAATCACAACAAGAGTCGTCTCAAGGCACTTCACATAATAAACATTCCAATTCAGGTCAGTTCATTAAGCCAATCAGAAATAATTTTTCCTATATAAGGAACCCAGCAAATTGCATCAAGTCACTGACTAGTGTCAGTGACTTTACAGCAATCCTCATACTAAGCAAGCATATAGTGACAGTGGAGAGGAATACTCCCATTAAACAGGAAGAAACCTCCTGAGAATCCTGGCTCTGTATAGACCCTTTTACTGTTTGTAAACAATATGACGTCAGCGAGAATGCGCACGCAGCTTGGCAACAGAGAATGGCGTTGTGTCAGGCTTTATCAAGCTACGCTGCGGGGTTATCACCGGCAAATCTTGAATGTTATATTATTAAACTCACTTTAACGAATGGCAACAGACTCCCGGATCCCTGTGGCATTACGGAATGGGTGGAAGATGTAGGTGCGTGGCCAGATATCCAGTGGTCCGATATATATACGTTTTTAGTGGAGAGGCCCAGTAAGTACACACGTGAGAAGCTACGGGCATACAAATCGTTAGATGCATACAACTATGTTGTCTGTGGCCACGTACAGAAAGTAAAATATCACGACATAGACTCTGAGTTTTGCGTCTTGAAGGCAGAAGTCCTTCCTAGCCAAAGACAAGGACACAAGACTGCTATGTACGAGGCTTGGGACATAGTAAACAAACCAGAGAACTACCTCTTCACAGCCAACTGTACCTGCATGGCAGGGTGAGTATAGCATAGGTTTCTTTTTTTTAGCGTGCTCAGAGTACAATCGTGTTAATTTTAGAGAAATACAGTTTATACTAATATGCAGTGGGAAAATACAGATGAATTAGAATGAAATGTTAATTTGAAGCATGAAATAAAGCGTATAAATTTGTTTAATTCTGTCATTTTGATGTTCCAGACTTGGGTCATGCTGCAGCCACGCAGCAGCAATTTTATTCAAAGTTGAGCTTTGTGTTAGGATGGGAAAAACAGAAAACCTCGCCTGTAAATAAATGGACTGCTTAAAAGCAAACCAGCAAACGCAACTTACTTTATTTAATAGAACACACGTTAACCAGCTTTCTGGTGTAATCTTAGTACATAATTACCTTACCTGATATAAAATGGACGCTACAAACTCGAGCATTTCGGATCGTGTTTTCAGTCCAGTTTTCATCAACCCTTTTGATGGCCTGCAGCCACAGACGCCTCCGATTTTGTTGAAATGGATGTGCTCCCTTCGGAATTCTGTAAAGTTTCAGTCCACTGCTTGAAGAGAAGCGATTCTGGCATCCATACACGCAACAACCCGACATTTTTATGTGCTCAGAACTTCAAAACAAAGGGTTTAAAACGCTGTTTTAGTATCGAGTTTGAATGAGGAAGCCTTCACTCTCATTGCCAGGCTGCGCGCGCAACTTTTGATGACGTAGGTAGTAAAAGGGTCTATAAGCAGCCATCCTCCACGACTCACTGGGGATCGAGAAGACAGAGCAGACGCACACACACACACACACACACACACACACACACACACACACACACACACACACACACACACACACACACACACACACGGCAAAATAATGTGTCTATAGTTATATTGTGATGTCTTAGTAAATATTCTATTTGGTGAGATATAAACTTTATTGTATTTATCCTAGTGGATCTATAATTAAACGGATAAACTAGTAGTAGCACATCCAACGTCAAGGAAAGCAAAAAGTTATTATTAGGAGAGGGAGAAAGTTTAAGTGGTTAGCAGCAGTGTGCTAGACGATGGCCCCCTCCATGAGGCCACCACAGCTCAGCAGAACATCATTGTTGCTTCTTCTGGGAAGAAAAACACTTAGAGAGAAAATAAAGTTAATAGCTAAAATTGCAGAAAATAATACAGTAAAAGAGCAGATTATAGAAGAAAGTAGTAGAGTGTGAAAAGAGGTCAGTGTATCCTCCAGCAGTCTAAGCCTATAGCAGCATAACTACAGAGATAAATCAGGATAATCTATCCTATTTAGATGGAGGCATGTTGGAGGCAGGGCAAGGGAGAGCTGTCTTTACCGACTGTACACTCCACCTCCCTGTACTCCCCCACTTGTCCAGATCTAGGCTAACATCAGATTTTAGCCATAGGCCCATCAAATAAAAATGTTTTAAGCCTAGTCTTAAAAGTAGACAAGGTGTCTGCCTCACGGACTAAAGCTGGGAGTTGGTTCCACAGGAGAGGAGCCTGATAACTAAAAGTTCTGCCTCCCATCCTAATTTTAGAAATTCTGGGAACCACCAGTAGACCTGCAGTATGAGCGTGAAGTGCTCGGTTAGGAACATATGGAACAATAGATCACTGATGTATGATGGAGCATGATTATTAAGAGCTTTATATGTGAGAAGGAGGATCTTAAAATCTATTCTGAATTTAACAGGTAGCCAATGTAGGGAAGCTAAGACAGGAGAGATATGATCTCTCTTTTTAATTCTAATCAGAACTCTAGCTGCAGCATTTTGGACAAGCTGAAGACTTTTAACTACATTCTGTGGACTTCCTGAGAGTAATGAATTACAGTAATCCAGTCTTGATGTAATAAATGTATGAACTAATTTTTCAGCACCACTCCTGGAAAGGATGCTTCTAATATTAGCAATATTCCGAAGGTGGAAAAAGGAAATCCTACAAACCTGTTTAACCTGGGATTTGAATGACATGTTCTGGTCAAAGATAACACCAAGGTTCCTTACTTTGTTCTCGGAGATTAATGTAATGCCATTCAGGTCAGGTCATTGACTAAGCAATTTCCTCTTCTGGATTTCTGGTCCAAAGATGAGAACTTCTGTCTTGTCTTGATTTAAAAGCAAAAAGTTTAGAGTCATCCAATTTTTTATGTCCTCAAGACAAGCCTGTAATCTACCCAACTAATTAGGTTCATCAGGGTTAATGGATAAATATAACTGAGTATCGTCAGCATAACAGTGGAAGTTTACCCTATGCTGTCTAATGATTTTACCAATTGGGAGCATATATAGTAAAAAGAATTGGTCCAAGCACTGAACCCTGTGGTACTCCACAAGTAACCCTGGAGTATGAAGAAGATTTGTCATGTACATTTACAAAATGAAATCTGTCAGACAGGTAGGATTTAAACCAGCCTAGCGCTGTTCCTTTGATCCCTACAACATGTTCAATAGCTCACACCCCTGCCCCCCCTCCCCCCTCTACCTATAGAACAGGGGTGCCCAATCCTGGTCCTCGAGGGCCAGTATCCAGCTTGTTTTAGTTTTAACTCTCCTTCAACACACCTGATTTCAATCAGCAGGTGATTAACAGGCTTCTGCAGAGCCTGATGAGATGCTGCACAGGTGATTCAACCAGTTAATCAAGTGTGTTGGAGCAGAAAAATCACAAAACCTGCTGGATTACAGCCCTCCAGGACCAGGATTGGGCACCCCTGCTCTAGAAGGAACTGAAAGCCAAGCTTCATGCTGCGCATGCGCACATAAATAGCAAGCAAGCAAACCAGTAATGTCGAATGCTTTTGATGTTTCCTCAGCCTTCATTGGGTTCTGCAGGACCTGCTTACTGCACATTAATCTTCAGTGTTCAAGCAGGGAAACGTTTAAAACTGGCAGGAATTCAGCATTCGAGTTGGTAGCCCACCCCTGCTAACGCTACAAACAGGCTAAAACAACAGTTTGCTGTAGCGTAAGGTTGAATGCTATATTAAACACTTAGCTCTAATAGACAAAAAATAAACCCCTTTTCGTTCCCCCCTCCTCTTCCAAAGCTAGCTTGAAATTTACTGACACTAATTCAATGCAGGTGGAGTTAGCATTCAAGCTAGATTGGCATAGTGGTGTGACTTCCTGCAGTGCATGCTGGAAACTGGGGCACAGCTCTTTCTTTTGGATACACAACTCTATTGGTCAATGCTCTTGGCTTGTATAAATGATTAGCAAGGGGAAAAACAAATTATGAAAGGTCTAAGCTACAAATTTAATCGACGCAACCCAGCTTTAAAATATCTAAATGGGAATTCTGTTTTATTTGCTGTAATCAAAAAGTGGGTGAGTAATAGTTGTTTTCCAACTCCTTTTTAAGGATTTGTTGTTCTTTTTTGTGTTTATCATCCATAAGTGCAACTCTCAGTACTTAAAATGTTGAAACAACTAAAAGAAGACTCAAAATGATGAGCATTCCGATTGAAGAGGTGACATTTGCTCATCTGAACCTTGAGTGATAAACTTTTTCGGTCAGATTCCAACAGAGGGAGTAAAATCTATTCTTATAAACATTAAATCTCTTCACTAGGATAAAGTTTAGATTCTCACAAACCTTGCAAATTTAATTAAACTTTACACCACATCTATTTGATGCATTTGTGTTTAAAACTTTTTCAACTAAATTTATGTTTATTTATTTATTTATTTATTTATTTATTTATTTATTTATCATGTGTAGATTTTCCAGTTAAGATTATTTAAAATTTGAATTATAAATAAAGTATTTTTTTGTTTATTTTGTTCATCTTTGTTCAGATTGAGGAAGAACCTGAAGAGTTTTTATGTGGTTCATCCCACCTGGTACATCAAAGTTGTCATTACGATCATCAAACCCTTCATCAGGTTTGCTGCCTCTTCTTCCTCACTCGTCCTGTGTTACCATGGTTACTAAACTTACAGAGCATTATTTGATGTTTTGTTCCTTCTTAGCACAAAGTTCAGCAGGAAGCTTCAGTTCGTCAATGGACTTCAGCAACTTTCTCACTTCATCCCTACTGAGCATGTGCAGATCCCGGACTGTGTTAAAGTGTGAGTGACATCATTTATCGACATGCTGTCGTTTGAGATTTATAGATGAACAGACTCATCACCAACTAGTTGGGATCTGTCCAGAAACCTTAAATCATTATACCTTACAAATTCCTGAACATTAATCGTTTTTTAACCTTGCAGGTATGACCAGAACCTGTCCAGGTGAAGCTTGGGGGTCACAGCAGAGTGAGAACGCTGGAAATATTCCTCTTTCTGATATTTATCAGCTGCCAGTTAAGGACATATCGCTGTCATCAAAAAGCACCCCGGCAGTATCGGGTGGTGGTGAAGAACAATCAGTATCAACAAGAGTTTTGATCTTGTAAACAGTGTTGGTGGAGTCTTTAGTTCCAGATATTTAAATTTAAAGATAAATTAACTTATATGCCATGTTAAAGCAAAAAAACGTGAACCAGGAGACTTCAATGATTTCCAATTACTCCAATTTTTAATAGAAATAATTAAGCCGATATTTTTGTTTGATTTTTTAAGTGTCAAACATTTACAGTTAGTTTATGAGAATGTTCCATTTTAATCAAAAATGAAAAAGCACAAAGAGTATTTGTCATAGAAATTCTGTGCATTTTAGTACCAAAACATTTAATTAAGAGTCAAATGTGAGGATCTAATTTTTACATTACAGACTTGTCATCTCCTGAAACAATTTTGTGATTATTTACACAAATAAAAGCTAGAATTCTTTAAAGTGTCCAAAATAATTAAAAATGCGCACATTTCCTAAATATGTTGCAAAGTGGTGAAGGTTTTTAAAACTAGCCTCTTGTTTGCACTTTTAGTCATGCTTGCTCTTTCCTGTTTGTGAATTTGATGTTTGAATTTGCTATAGCCTTGATTTAATTCTTGATGTTTATCTAATTTTGTCTAGTTTTAGGAATGATTGCACATTAGAGCTTTTGTAAAGAAAATGGGGGGGGGGGGGGGGGGGTAAAGTTGCAAGTGTTTTGTTATTGATTCAGTCTCATGGATGTGGTGTATTTGTATGACAACACCTACATTTGCAAGAAAAACTTCAGATTTTCTGTACTAAAAGCTTGCACTTATGAGAATAAAGCTGGGAAAATACTAAAATAAAGATTGAAAACTGCAAGAAAACAGAAAAAATACATTTATCTGAAAAAAATCACAGAAAGTTACTGAGATTGTTCAGTTCTGAATTTGATGAGAAAAAAAGGTTAAAATTCTCAGGTAAAAAAAATTTAATAAATTCACAACTTTATGTAAAACAAAATTACCACAAACAGGAAAGAACCTTTTCTTGCATTTTGTGACAACACACTATTGTGACTCCAGAGGGCGCTGTTGCCCCTGAAAAACATCACTTGCTCATGAAGAAGTATTTGCTTAAAACAGTAAATGGTGGGGGAAAACCCAAATCACAGCTTTGTTTGGGATTGATTTTGTTTATTTACAATGCCCTTAGACATTCTCATACTTTAGAATGATGTTTCTTAAAACCATAATTATCAAACTCAAGTAATTTTGTTGGGAGTGTTGAAGAAAAACTTTATTCTGCATTCTGCCAAACAAAAAGTAAAAAAAAAAAAGCTGTGTAATTATAGACTACAGAAGCATAATGCGAAATTTAAAAATATCTAATTTTTTCTAAAGTAACAAGATCATTTAAAAAACCTCTGCCAACGGATCCTGGAGAAACATGGTCACATCAAGGAGAGATCACGCTCCGCAGGCGTCAGCGCAAAGTCGACAAACTAATAGAAATCTTATCTATATAGTTTAGAGACAAGAGTCTTAACTGTCTCAGTCTCACAACAAAGTAAAAGTGGATTAAACTCAACAAACTGGACATGTTTCAGTTCCTCTTACTTACAAGCACAGAACATAGAATAAAATAGAATAGAATAGAATAGAATGCCTTTATTGTCACTATACAGGTGTAAAGTGAGATACAGAGCATCTCCTACTCAGTGTAAAACAAACATACTTGGGGGGGGGGGTACAGTTCTGCAGCGCTATGTACATATGGACAGTAATGTTGTGTATATACAATTACTGCACATGAAATTTGGTATCAACAGATAGTGGTGGTCAATGGAGGAAGTGGGAAGTGGGGGGCTGTGTTATCGGTGCATGTGTGAGTTCAGGGTGGTTATTGCTTTGGGGAAGAAACTGCTTTTGAGTCTGTGGGTTTTTGTATTAATGCACCTGTAGCGCTTCCCTGAGGGAAGCAGTCCGAACACGTTGAAGCCATAATCAATAATTAAGTTTTTTTGTTACCATTATCATCTCATCAATTCAGAAAAATAAAAAAGTGAAAGCAAATCAATTCTGTACTATAATCTGAACAGAAATTCATCATTTATTCTGATCATATTAGGGCTAGAGAGTTCACCTAACAGATAATCCAAAGAATTAAAAAGTGGATGTCCACCATCCAAATCAGCTGAAAGGTAAAAAAATGATTTTGCAGCTAATGCGATATTAAATAGAGTTGTTTACAGTGTTGTTTTATTGGTTGAGCAACGTTTATGTCATTACGCTAGCTGCTAAAGCACTCTCCCGTCGATCAGCTGAGATTATGGAGAACTCTGCTTCTTTATCAGCTCTTCCTCTAACAGATATCCTCTTTTCACTTAAGAAGAAAAATATGTTCGGTTTGCTTTTGTAATCAGTCAGTATTACCGTTTCAAGTTACTGATTAGGGATTAAAGCATTGCAAGTCACGGCTAATTAGCACCAGGATACATTGAAATGCTTCTATGTGTCAATTTATGTGGAACGTATTCAGCTGAGAGAAAAAGCGCAAAAAGATTCAATGATCTCAAACAAAAAGGACGAAGAATAAACTTATCTGTGTGAAAGTTCGAAGTTTCTATTGTTTCCAATAATAAACACTTCCTTTGTAACATTTGTAACATGCAAAACATCCTGAAGCTTGTGATGAAGATGGAAACCTATTTTTGTGTGTCTAATTGTCAGCTTTAATTTGATTACGAGAACACAGATTATGCGGTAAAGACCCGAATTTCCTGAAATTTATGGCGGCAGGTCAAAGGTCAGGATTCGAGCTTGAGTCATTTTAATGTCTCCCGAAGCGATGGAAACATAAAAGTGGTCTGCATGAACACAGCCATTTTTCAGGATATGGAGCTTGACAGGAAGGAAGTGATGTAGCTGCAGAGGAAACTCCATAAACAGGAACACACACCAGACTGTGTGTGAGTCTCTGTCAAACAACTGTTTTTTTTATCCCTCTGCAATCATTACATGAAAAGAAAGAGTCAGTCTTGTTTTCTCATAGTTGTACTGCCTTTTTATTCAGCTGGTTTTGCTACTTTAATTACTAATATTGACCAATATGGCTAGTTGGAAAGTCTGGAGATCAAATTTAAAGGTTTGTATCGTTTCTACTGTTGGTGAGATGTTTCCAGTCTTCAGTGACCAAGACTTAAAGTAATCTATGATTTTGATGTTGTGTCCCTTCTTTCTTTTCCTGCCAGTTGTTCCAGTTTCCTTTGCTTACCAACCACGTATCACTCTTGGTTAGTTGTCGCTGATCCCTAGATTTACTCAAGCCACATTTTGTCATGTCTTTCCACTTCCTGTGCGTTTGAATAGTGTGTTAGGAAGTTCGTGGCAGCAGGGGCGTGTCCAGGGAGTGGCCTGGGTTAGCACATGCCACCCTTGGAATCTGATTGGCCACCCCAGGTGTCACCACACTAAGGCCTAGTCCACACGTAGCCGGGGTTTTTTAAAACCGAATATCCGCCCCTCCAAAAACTTGCATCCACACCACCTCGTTTTTAAAAAAAAACTCTGTCCACATGTACTCGGATAAATACGTTGTTAAGGACATGCCAGACCTGTAGGCGGCAGTATTTCCCCCGTTCTTAACCTCGTCCTTCGTCTGTGGTCTTCCGCAAGGAGCCGTAATTCCGCTTGCAAAAACAAACAAGCAAAAAGCGCTTGGACAATTGATAAAGCGAGCGCAGCTCTGAGGGCATCCATGCTGTCGGCTAGCGTAAACACAGGTCGCACACGTGATGTCAGCATTTTTTGTTGCGGAAAGTGACGTTGCGGACCTTAAAACTCCGGTTTTGTCTGTCCACACGCAGAACCCCCAAAACGGAGAAAACGCAGATCTTCACTTTGGCCGGAGTTTTTAAAAAGATCCGTTTTCGTGTGAAAAAACTCAGTTTTCGTGTGGATGACAGGACAAAACGTAGAAAAATATCTACGCTTTGGCAGATCCCCGGCTACGTGTGGACAGGGCCTAATTTACCTTTAAATAAGCTTTTCATTGTCCACAAAAGGCTTGGGGGTAAAACAAAAAAGCATAACCATTGGTGCCACCCATGCACAAAGTTGTGCCTCACCTGGGCCACCCCACTTTAAATGATCTGGACACACCACTGCGCGGCAGCTTGAATGCAATGATGCGCCTGTTTGTTGTGTTTGGGGCTGCTCAGCTGCAGTCCATTAAGATGCACTAACCCGCTTCATTGCTAACTTGGCGACAGACCACCAGGACATTCTGAAGGAGAATGTCAACACAGGCAGTTTGATGCTTTAGGCAACATTCTGCAGGGCGACCTTAGGCTTTGCCATTCATGTTGATGTTAATTTGACATTATCTCTAAATATTATTCATTATCAACCTCATAATTTAACCCCCAACACTACGAAAAAGGGTTAAAGTGGTTTGAGAAACACAGCTAACAAATTTGCATAGTAGTTTAAAAAAAACACAAACGCACAAGTTTACAACCAACTCATTGATGTTTTATGCAGTGATCTAATAAGCTAAATTCTGGTTTTTGTCGTCTTTGTTTCCTTGAAGCGTTTCATTTCCTAAGTAATGGCTCATTTTCTAATAAAACTTTGAAACATTTTAGCAGCTGGAACATTGAGAACCCATGAAATGACGAATGTTTTTAACGTGTCCATGTGTTTTCCCCGTGCACTCTGCTTAAAACAAGCCACCAGCAACCACGTCTTTAGTTTTTCCACTTGTGTTGTTACCCCTTCCTCAGAGCTGGACTCGGGTTGCCATGGTAACACACAGTTTAACCATCGTTATTACAGCCCTGTGGTCTCTGCACAGCTGCTTCCAATAAAACGTGATCTTAAAGTGTGACACAGTATTTGAACTGGGTCAAACATGTAGAGTGAGCCCAGCTGCTTTTACTAATACCAGATTAGTAGTTTATAATATTTATTTAGCGTAATTTGTTTTATTTGAAAGAAAATCGATGGTAATGAATTTGAAACTACAATGAAAAATTCTTGGCTTCGTAGTGCTGCCTTCATTAGCAGTCAAGTTTTGGAGTTCATGCTTACTCAAATATAATTTAGATTCTGTCTGTCCTTCCATCCGTCCGTCCTACCATCCATCCATCCGTCCATTCTTTCCATCATCCATTGATTATGTTCATCCTTGAAGACTGTCCATCCATCCATTCATCCGATCGTCCATCCATCCATCCATCCATACGTCCATTTATCTGTCCGTCCATCCTTCCTTAATTTCATCCGTCTATCCATCCATCCTTTCGATCATCCATTAATTTGTTTCCTTCATCCATCCATCCATCCATCCATAGGTCAGTCCAACCATCTACCCGTCTATCCATCAGTCTGTCCATCCATCCATCCATCCATCCATCCATCCACCTGTTTGTCCATGTGTCAGTCCATCCAGCTACTCATCCATCAATCCATACGTCCATTTATCTGTCCGTCCATCCTTCCTTAATTTCATCCATCTATCCATCCATCCTTTCGATCATCCATTAATTTGTTCCCTTCATCCATCCATCCATCCATCCATCCATAGGTCAGTCCAACCATCTACCCGTCTATCCATCTGTCTGTCCTTCCATCCATCCATCCATCCATCCATCCATCCATCCATCCACCTGTTTATCCATGTGTGAGTCCATCCAGCTACTCATCCATCAATCCATACGTCCATTTATCTGTCCGTCCATCCTTTCTTAATTTCATCCGTCTATCCATCCATCCTTTCGATCATCCATTAATTTGTTCCCTTCATCCATCCATCCATAGGTCAGTCCATCCATCTACCCGTCTATCTATCAATGTGACTGATGTAAAGTTGTTGTTGTAATTGTTGTTGTTAGCCTCAAGGGCAATTTGCCGATTATCACTTGTAAGTCGCTTTGGACAAAAGCGTCTGCTCTATCCATCTGTCCGTCCTTCCTTCCATTCATCCGCCCATCATACATACATACATACATACATCAGTCTGTCCATCCATCCATCCATCCATCCAAACTCAGTTTTGTTGGATCTGCAGGATCTACTCACCACCACTTTCCAGCTTCTTGCCAGAGAGGATGTATACTCCCTCCAAGGAGTTCTGGATCTACCTCCTGATGAATGCAACCAGGTGGCATTCCTGAGCCCTTATGATGATTATGGCTCTACTCATAGCTCCTAACCTTATCTCTAAAACCTTCAGTCTCACCTCATATCACATGACTACAGGCAAGAGCTCGAGTGTAGTTTCTGTCCATTAAACTTTGTGAAATCTCTCGAACTACCTTGCATTGTCGTTTTGCCAAGATCTTGGTTTTCTATTCAGCTGCTTTCTGCAAAGTTATACACATTCCCCTTTATGATAGCTATCCTTAAAATATTTCATTATTTTTAAATCACATTAAATATAATCTTAAGTTACCTCCATTTCAGTAATCAGTCGTGAGAATTTTCTAATATAAACTCATCACATTTATTCCAGGAAACTGGCACCATTGACCCGTAAATACTTATTGTCTTTAACATATTTGAGACAAAACATCATTTTATTCAGCCATCATGAGACATTTATTAAATAAGAGGAAAAAAGTCAGCCTGTTTCTGCCAAGGAGAAACAGGCTACGTAACAAAATCTAAAACAGCAAATTCAGCCCACACATCACATGTGTGTGAAGTATGTTTAAAGAAATTTTATTAATATGTCATTAAAGATAATCTCTGTTTTAAAGTTAAACTAAGATTATCATTAGAACAGCAGAGAATGTCTTATTTTACATAATAATTGTAGGATTTCGTTCTCAAAGTTTATTGACCTCTAAAGTGTGATGGGTTGAAACTCCAGCAAAGCACAAGTTAAAACATTTTAGTTTGCAAATAAACTAAAATGTATCTGTTTTTCTTTATATTCATTCATTAAAAAGAAGCACTTTGCTCAAATCTGATTTCAAAACAAATCATAATAAATTTTTATTCAACACTGGGGTTTTTGTGAGTATTTAAACAGGTGCTGTGATAAAAAAAACTGATATAATAAATAATTATTAACCAGCATGTTTGTGCAGCATAATCCACAGAGCCTCTAAATGCCAAAATACACTGAATAAGTAATAAATAATGTCTATTTATGCAATAATTAAACTGGATACTATCTTTTAATATGGTTATGTCAAAGAAAGCAAATAAACATCACATGTTTTCCTTTACATCAAGGTGAGACTGAAGGGGAAAGTGTTTTCGGGTGTGGTTGAACTGTAGAGGTAGTTGGGAATCAAACAGGAAGAGGAACGGGAAAGGAGAAAATGGCTGAGATAAACAGAAGGAACTACACTTCGGTAGCCAGGTTTCCAAGAATGAGAAGAGGAACAATGCAGTGTCAGAGTGAGCAGCATGAACCTGAAGACTTCCATCTCGCCACACTTAAGATTCAAAGCGGTCAAACATATGGCGTCCAAATGGTAGCAAGTCGTTAAAAAGCGTTCAGCTTTACAGAAGCCCAAACTATTTGAACTATTTCTGGCATCTGTGGTGTGAACCATGTTGGAAACATATTTCTGTAAACCTTTGAGATGAGGCGTAAACGATATGTATTCATGGAGATGCTAAATCTGGATAGAATATGCAGTTTTGTCAACAAATGTCTGGGATGAGCCTGGATGGAAAAAGCGTATAGAGAGCTGTAATAAGGAGGGGATGTCAGAAACTCCCACAGTGCAAGGTTTTCTAACAAATCATGATGAGAACCAGCAGCAGCAGCTCAGATTTTCCTGAAACAGTAATTCTGCGTTCTTGGTGTCAGCCACAGGGAGGAAGTGGACGGTCGCCATGGATTGGAGGGGAACCACAGTGACTCAGCGGTTTCCATAGCAACTACTGGGATGGATTTCCCCCAGGTACATTACAAAGTTCAGCCTGTGTGTTGATGAACAGCAGCCAGGGTTTGGAAAAATTTCCAGCAAAATGAATGAAAGGCACCCAAAAGGTACCAAAGGATTACTACTTTGATTAATTTGGTCCTCTCAGGCCGACTAGATCAGGTGACTGTGTTCAGCAATGATTTAAAGAAAACAAACAAACAAATGCAATCTAATAGTTACCAAGTAAGGTTTTTTTTTTGTGATTTAAAATTTTATTCAGTTTTAACAGTTGGTTGATTGGTGGAGAGAAACGGTTACCACTTTTTAACCGTATTGTAAGAATAGGCCCGTTTCCAGGTAACTTTACTGGATCTTCTCAGCTTGTGTGACCCTTCCTTTCACTGGGCTATCCCAAAAAGACCATTGTCCAGGATACTTCAGGAACTTGAACAGGGGTGGGTACATGAAAAAGGCCTGGTAGAGTTGCTGGGTGGGATTTGTGGTTAGTTCACACCGACTAGTTGTAACTCAGTGGGAAATTATACCAACAGGCATCCCCAAACAACCAGCCTTTGCAAAAATTTTTAGAGTTGCTGTTGAAGTGGAATGGAAGGAAAAGAAGTAGCATTATCGCAGATCTAAAATCGCTGCTTCTGAACTCCCAAAGACATAAAATCCCTGTACTGTAAATTACGACACATTGAGGTGTAGTTATGGTGCCGTAAAAACCGGTGCTTCTTCTGGTCTTGAAATGCTTCTTTTTTCACGCCACACAGCTGATCTCCTGTCCCCCAAACAGATTTAATCATGATGTATCTTAACAGAATAAAACTTTTATGTATAAGTTTTATGTCAAGGCATGAACTCTCCTTTGGGTGCTGACCAAGGACCTTCCTGGAGGGGGCCATTGGCTGGCATGCTACTGCCAAGCCCATGTCGCAAATACGAGTACACCCCAATTATAGTCTTAGGAGAAAAGCCACACCTAAGACTACAACTATCAAACGAACAGACATTCAACCACAGGTGAATCTAAGGATTCATTTAAGAGGTGTTCAGCAGACAGGTGAATATAAAAGAGCATTTCTTAACAAAGAAAAGCCCTTCTCATTTCATGCCGTCAGCAACGGCTCCATGTGGAAGAGAAATGTCACACAATCTGAGAAAGGAAATCATTTCTTTACACAAAAATGGTGAGGACTACAAGAAGATCAGCAAAGCTTTACATATCAGTCAAAATACTGTAGGAAAAGTAATCCAAATGCATAAGAAAGATGGAAGTGCAACCATCTTACAGAGACGTCCAGAGACGGATGTTAATATCTCGACAGGAGTGTCTTCTGATGAGAAGGGTTGAAGAAAATCACCATGGCATGCAAGTTCACTGCAGTTAGCTACTAGCCTAGTGAACTAGACCAAATTCTTGCTTTGCAAAGTTTGGTCTAGGCACGCTCCATTGGAACCTCCGCAGCTCCTACCAGGACTCTGGCTAGCCAATCACAGCTCTCTAGAGGGGTTTCAAACACATAAAGAGCTGTGATTGGTCCATAATGGTGGGTCAATCATAGTGCTCTATCTGCTTAGTGAACAAATCACAGAGCTTTATTCGCTTTGTGGGCCAATCAGGGCACTCTATGTGCCTGGTGGGTGGGATGATGCAACAGAGTGAAACAAGAGTATGTCACATTCATTGTCCAGTGGAATGTGGAGATCATTTGAAAGACAACGGTAGAACCCGCCCCACAACCGAGAGCCGTCAATGGAGCGTGGCCAGACTAAATAATACATTTATTTAGTCTAGCTTGCCAGGCTAGTTAGCTACAGCAGTAGAAAACCAAGCTGGACTGAGCATTTCCCATGACACCATATGGCGCACACTGCAGATGAATGGCATGCATGGGTATCGTCCATGAAGGAAGCTTCTCCTAAAGCCCATGTGCAAAAAAGCACACCTAGGAATTGCTAGGGCCCATGCTGAAAGAGATGAAGAATACTGGGACTCTATACTCTGGAGGGATGAGACAAAGAACACTGCATTTGGAACTAATGGTTTCAAAACTGTATGGCGTCGTAAATGGTGCCTACAGTGAAACATGGTGGTGGGGAATTCTGCAGCAGCAAGTTGAGCATCACTCTCCATCTAGCATCTAACAGAGGTTATTCTAGAAGAATGGAAAAAGATAACGTTGTAATACGTCGCCAACTAGTTCATCCCATGCCTTAAAGACTTGGTGCCTTCCTTGAAAATCACAGTGGTCATACAAAATACTAGACGTAGTAGTTTTGTTGTGGGGTGTATTCATTTTTGCTTTGACCTATTTTAGTAAAACTGAAGATTTTGTGATCTAATTTTTAATCTTAACCTTAATTTCATGTTATGGAGTTAAACATGTAATCAATAAAACCCAGCCTTGTGAAAATTCTGGTAATTGTTCTTTTGTTCATTGAGCTACTGATTAAATTTGTTCTTTTTAAAGGGAGTGGACTCATTTATGTTGAGCAATGTAACTAAATAGAATTAACATCACTCAAAACGGTCTTCTTAAAGTGCTGATTTTGAATGGAGACACAATGAGCCATGGTATTTTCCCAGTCACCTTCCCCCTCCCAGAAATTTCCTGGAATTCCTAGTGGAAATTCAGCTAATGATTCTCAGGGAGAAAAGTAAAAGTTTAAAATGTGCTTTTTTTAATTAGACTTTTTGTAAATATTTGTTTTTGAACATAACTGTACAATTGGACTTGTTAACAATAACGCTTTAAATTTTGTTTCCAGAAATATTGTTTTCCATCAATCACAAAAATGAAAAACTTCATTTCTCATATGTCTTTTTTATTTTAAAAAATCTTAATTTGCACAACGTTTCTAAATATTTTCAGTTCCACAATATCCTAAAGTGTTCAGACATTTCATGTTGCAGTTCTTTCAACACATTCATCCACATATTAACCCAAATATACCTAAAAATACTAAATAAGCAAAAAAGCTCATCGGTGTGAGACAACTCATCAAACTTTCGACAGTAAATCACCCGAAACAGCATAAATTTACAAATAATATAAATTTGCTTAAAAACATTCAAACACTCCGCAATGTAGAGCAGTAAATCTTAAGATTTTCTACCAGATACAGGATGAAATGTTTTAAAAATAGTGTGTGAAATATTTGAACATGATATTTTAGGGCATTTAAAGTCCCAGAAAAACACTTTTAGTGAAGTTATATCATAAACAAATATGTAGCAAAACCAAAAATTTTGAAAATGAAAGTTTGTACAAAAGGTGGGTTGTTTATACTTAAAATGAAATTGTTAACATAACTGACACTCTCTCACACACACACACACACACACACAATCTCGTCTTGTCTTCGCTGACATGATGCAGTCCCATGACCTCAGGGCTGCTTCTAAATCTGAATACCGGACTTACCCTAAATATCCTCACCAATGTCTATAAATGACGCTGGTCCCCACAAATACATATATATGAGCGCACACACACACACACACACACACACACACACACACACACACACACACACACACACACACACACACACAGAGTCAGATCCAGTGTAGCAGAGTTTCCTGGGACTTTCCCATCTCCTAAAATAAGAGTCTGACATCAACAAGCACCAGCGGTGGGGATGGCCAGACTGAAGTATCCTGAGGAATGAAGTCCAGTGATGTCATCATTGTGGTCAATGGGACTCCTGAACCAATAAAAAGATTCAGGAGCAGAAACCCTTTAACTAAACCAAGGTGTACACCATAAGTGAATACTGAATGAATTTACAATTAAAGGTGGAAAAAAAATCCCAAATTCATTTCATGAAATTTTTTCTTCTTTTTCTCATTAGTTTTTTTCCCTGCCCATACAAATACAGACTTTCTGTCATTTATATTTTAATTACTCAAAGATTCTGGGAAATGGAGTCCAGTGGGGCTAATCTTAATTTAATACTGATGGGAGAAAATTCTTCAGGCGAGCGCAACAGAAGCATGTTTTATCTTAGATATCTATGTTTAAAACTAATTGTTATAATAAAATATCTGGTGTAGCATTGGTTGCTTGTAAAATACAAATAAACAGGAGGTTCTGAGGCATCTTGGGAAATGTAGTCCTTGACTTTTCTTTTTTAAACAACAAAATCTGGGTCTGATGGGGCTTTAAAAGTCTTATAAATAAATAAAAAACTGAATGGAAAGTTTTTATCCAGACTTCTAGGAGGACATTTTGTTAGGTTTATGTTATTCTATTCATTTTCAGTTTGGGCTTTCCCCCAAAAAGGGGCCTCGGTGTTGCAGCCGTTGCTCAGGGACACTTCAGTGGGGTTGTTAAAGCCTTTAGCTGGATGCTGGAGGAAAGGCTCAGAAGTTCAGGGTGTGGAGGAGGTCAGTCAGCTGGTCTGAATCCATTTAATGCAATCCTGAAACAAAACAGACAAAACAACAGAAACAGTTTGTAAAAAAGATATCAGAGTACACCCTGGCAGACGGAGTTCATTAAAGCCTTGAAAGGTAAGACAAGCTATAAACTGCTAATGGAATTACAAAAGACGAGTCTGTAGGCTGTGCAGTGACTCAATGCTAAGGAGGAGGCTGGGTGACCTGTTGACTCAGAGTCAACATTGAGAGTCAACATTAAGAAAGTCATTTTAAAACTCAATCATGACTTGACATAAAACAAAGTCCTCTTGAAAAAGTCTAATAAAACAATAATTTATATTTGGTGTGTGTGAACCAATAACCAATGTATCACAATAATATGCATATTTTTAATACAATGTTGATCTATAATGATCCACCGGCCAGTACCAGGAGGGTGTCAGTGGTTACACAAAGCTTCAGTGGTAGCTGGACGTGTTTGCGTGTTTACCAGCTATAAGAGGCTGTTCCTGCCATTCATGTTTGGGCCTTTGGACCTCATCTGCTCCTGAACCGACCCAGACTGTAAAACAACCATGAGAAAATTAATCTGTTGACAAACAAATTCAGATATATTGTACCTTACTCTTTCCCAGGTAAATTTACCCTACATTTTAATTCGTGGTGTACAGTTTTTTTAATTTTCAACTCTTAGGTCATGAGCAGTTGTGTAAGGCATTTCACTGCATTTCGTACTGTGTATGAATGTGTATGTGACAAATAAAATTTGAATTTGATTTGAATTCGAAGTTACTTCAACCTACTGAGACCCAAACCTGTATTTGACGTGATTTAAAAGAAAAAATACATTAACTGTTATAGAGAGGTTTACTCTCATTAAGAGAAACAAAAATACAAATATTAAAATAAAATTTTATTGAATAAAAAATGTGTCAAATGTTCTATGAAAAAGAAAGAGAACAAAAAATACATTTAAAGTCAATATCATGTGTCTATAAATGATAAGAAAAATGGTCTAAGGTGAAGATAATAAAATTTTATAGTGCAAGGAGCCAATGTTCACATATGTGGACATGAGGGCCCTAGGAGGTTAGAGCCAGTTTCTGTTTAAAAAGTTGTTTAATTTACAAGTGGTTAGGATCTACTCAAGAGAATAAGAGATTTGTTGGTAGCTACGATCATAAATTTCACATGCCACATGGAAAAGCTACATTTGAGGCATGAAGGATGCTGCACTGCATGACATTTCCTGACACACACACACACACACACACACACACACACACACACACACACACACACACACACACACACACACACACACACACACACACACACACACACACACACACACACACACACACACACACACACACACACACAAGCCCCTCTGTCTTGAACTCTGTCGTCTCTTGTTTGTCAGGAAGTTTCGAGTTCCTGTTATACTTTCTGTTCCGATATAAAATCACAGCTCAGGTAAAAACGAGTCTCACCGGCTGCATGCCCTCTGACATCTCTCCAGAACCGATGTGTGTGAGGTGGATGAAGTTTGTCGGCTCTCCGATCATACTGCGATCGATCTTCCTCCTCTTCTTCTTCTAATAATAAATACACACATTATTTACTTTAAAAAGTCTTCACTATACTCAAAAGTCCATTAGACAAAAAGGTGGTTTGATGCACTTAATTAGAAATGTGTTTACAAACTAACAAAATACATTACATTTGTTTGATACCTTATCCCTAGTGAATGTATGTCTAACATTAAAAAAATGTAAATAGTTGGTTGAAAACAAACAATTCATGTAAACATTTTCTACACAATTACTTTGGAAATTATTAAAAAAAACACTTCACCGCTTATCAAGATTGATTTTTTTTAATGATGAATTGCTGAAATTTAAACATTTTTTTTTTAATTTTTTTTACAAGTACAATAATGCAAATTATTTGTATGTTGGAATTTTAAAAAAAAGGCCACTTCATATCGTGTGAATTCAAGTTAATGATATGAGCAAAGTTGATAAATCAGCTAATAAAACGATAGATCTGCTCTAAAAGAATATGTAAAACAAGCCCAGATATACTGAATTAAAATAAGCAAACACTTTCTTTTAAAAGATGCTGTAAAGCAGTTACATTTTTGAATTAATTTAACAAGTTGATTCTTTTAGTGTAAATTCAGCATTTTGGCATGCAAGATGAAATCAGAACACCTGAGGTCTGGGATGTTCCTGGTGAGGGTTTAAACGCATTTTCTGTCATGATGAAACTACTTGAATAGATGATTGTGCTCAGTTGTCGTATTTCCTTTGTGAATTTTTTCAAATGACAGATTCAAATTTCAGATCTTGCAGGTGAAATGCAAAAAAAGGAATAAAAATTGTTTATATTGTGCTTCATTCTGTGTCCGGTGTTTTTCTGATGGTCCTCTGTCTCTAATGTGTCTCCACACGTCCACATACTCTCAGACTCAAATCATCTCAGTGATTCATGCAAGAACAAATAAGTATGATGCAACAGATGGAGAAAAGGAAAAAACTGAAATCTGCAGGTTGAGCCTCTATAATAATACAGTTTATGCAACTCAGCAAGTTTATTAGTTAAAAAAAGAGGCTTGGCTCCTAAAAATTGTTTTGAATTTGCTGTTCTTCACCAAGCAGCTCTCTGTGGTGTGTTCAGGGACAATCTGAACTTTGGCAAACAGCCACTGAACGTCTCATTAAAATCAAATTGTGCTCCCAAAGTCTAGTAAATCCCACAGAGTGGAAACGCATTCCCGCCGCAATCATAACCATTTAGACGAGATTTCGGAGGATTAAGCTTCTCAGCATTATTCAGAGCTCTTAATGTAATAAACCAGAACCGAAGTGATGGGCTGAATGCATTCTAGAGGTGTGGTCTTCAAGATCAAAGCAAAATCTTGAGTTTTAGTTGTAACAAAAATGTTATGGTTTTTTTTTGCAAAAAAAAAAATTTAAATTAAAAAATTTGTATTCTGTAACTTATTAATGTCACTTTAAATGAAAAAAATATATGTTTAAAATGTTGTATTACTTTTACTACATTTTTTTCTTAATAATTTAATTTATATAATGTTTACCTTTTTTTTAAATTTTGGACCAAAGTGAATAGTTCTGATTCCAACCACAGAAGCCAGAACTGGACCTCATACTGTAGATCTTTGCTTGTGGGCATCCAGTCGTCAACCAACTGGGAGTGAATCATCACTCAGCCCACAGGTTCCCTCCTCCACAACTATAACTGTTGTCATAGCAACTGCATGCAAAAGCAACCGGACTGCTCTGATGAACAAAAGCCTGAGTGCTTTTCAGCAGGCCATGGTTTAAACTCAATAGTTTTATCAGAAAGATTAAATTAAAGAGCACAGATGGCTCCACCTCCAGACCAAATGCCAACCACTGATGCCAGATCACCACTTTAGTGGCTTTTTTTTTTTTTGGTTGATCATTTCTTTGCAGCCAGTTAGTCAATCAAGAGATCAGTATCAGTACTGTTAGTAATGTGACAAACTAAGCTGTGCACTTATGCCAGAGCAGTTTGGTTACGCAACATCACAACTGTTCCTCGGTTACTAAAAAACAGAAAAAAAGATTGTCCTGGCAACATTTGATTTGGGCAAACAAACAGCTCTGTTCTCCATCATCATCACCATCAAAGCAAATAACAAGCTGGAATTTTAAAAGTAAACGGCCACTGCACAGACATACTGTGTAAAGAATGTCAGCTGTTCCCAGACCTCCAGCTGAGGATGAGTTACGTCACAAGTTTGCAGGGGTAATGATCCAGAAGTACCGTAATGATGACTATATGAGTGCATTCTAAATATTAGATTTGCCATGGCAAGCTATGTGTAAATCTATAGTCTGGCCATGTTAAGCCCTTTTTAGAAGACACACCATGCCACCAAATCAGCATAATACTGCCACTATGGTGTCTTATGAACACGTCATGGTGGCTAGGCATTGCAGGAATTTAGCTGCAACGCTGGACTTGTGAATGCATATTACGCCTTGGCGCAACAGAGGGAGGAGTCATGATCATGTGAGGAGTTACTACCAAGCTCCGGCTGGCTACAATATTGAAAATGAAAGTAAATACAGGCCGTAAGTTTCCCTATTGTTAACAAAATCAACCGAGATGATAAACTGGAGCAATGCAGAGCTCCAGGAGCTTCTTTCAGGCAGAGCTAACCTCGGCTTTCCACGGGAGCCGTCAGCAGCACGTTACTGCAGCAGCACGTCTTGCTCGCATAAACTGCTGCTTGGCCCTTCCCACGAGATGCGAAGCAGCAGGGGTGCAGCTGTCACCGACCGAGCACGAAGTCACACGAGTGACTTCGTCAGTAAACACAACAACAAGCAGGAGAAAACTTCAACATGGCTCCAAAAGGTTTGTGTTTTATGTTCTGTCCGTTTTATAATCGCCAATACGGACCTGAAAAACAAAGGAGACCGCTAGCTAGGTGATAACTTCTCACGGGGCCGCACATTTAGTAACTGTTTTTAAAAGTAAAGCAGCCGGAAGGCAGTACGTTCTTTATTCTGAAAATCTCGGGAGCTTCTCTCCGTTTCCGCGTCCGATTTCCTGTCTTTCCTTCCCCAAAAATGTCGAACTTGACCCGTTTCAGAGGCGTCGCGCGTAGAAAATAGAACCGGCGCGTAAAGGCCGCGACATGCTGCTCCTGAGACGCGGCCGACTCGCGCTGCTGACGGCTCCGGTGGAAAAGGTTCTGTTGACCACAGCGGTTCCTATCAGCAGCTATGACGTGCTGCTGCAGTAACATGCTGCTGACGGCTCCTGTGGAAAGCCGGGGTAAGGCTCAGATCACCAGACTGTGGAGGACAGACAACTTTAGGAGCAGCTTGTAAAAAAATGTAATGAGCACAACTTTGATTGCAATAAAAAGCAAGTTATGTCCAAGCTGAACGGAAGTCCACGGCACCGCAGAAACCAGCCCATACCTCATTTTTACCACCATTGCGTCATCTTTTGTAAAAAGGACATGATCGTGCCACATTACCGCCACGATCTGACCACTTATAAGTGACCTAAGGCTCCCTAATGCCAGCTTGGCGTAGTGGCAAATTAGCGGCATTGTTTTCTAAAAGAAGCTATTGACAGAGCTCAGTTGTAGGGGCGGAATCGACGGCTGTCTTTCAAACTGCTTCCGCACGCAATTTAACAGTGCTAGGACCAATCAGAGTAACGCACAATGTGACATATTCATAGCAACAGAAATTACCACTGAAGAAGTACCACTCTCTACTCATGTCTCAAAGAAAAGCCCAAGTCTAAATGCTACTAAGTTGATGCCACCGCCGTTTCAGACGAGCGCCGTTCCTGAACTGACACCACAGTTGTTTTGCTCTGTAGCAGCTCTGGTGCTAAGCCTGCCCAACGTCTCTAAAAACAGACAGTGCTGTGACTGGTTTGGACTAAACTTAGACAAGCTAATACTGAGGCTAAAATATAAATGATAAATGACCCGCACTTGCATAGCTCCTCTCAGAGTGAGGACTCCAAAGTGCTTTTTACACTACAGTGTATCATTCATCCATTCACACACACATTCACACACTGGTGGGGATGAGCTACGATGTAGCCACAGCTGCCCTGGGGTGCACTGACAGAGGCGAAGCTGCCGAGCACAGGCGCCACCGGTCCCTCTGACCACCACCAGCAGGCAAGGTGGGTTAAGTGTCTTGCCCAAGGACACAACAGCAGCATTCTCTGTCCGGAGCCGGGATCTAACCTGCAACCTTCCGATTACTTGACAACCCGCTCAACCTGTTGAGCTACTGCTGCCCCTAAGTAAATAGAGCATAGCTAAACCAACCGTGCCTCTGCTATGGCCTATCTAGATTTCTAGGCTAAGAATAAACCCCAGTTAACAAGAGAAAGATAACAAAAATGCAAAAGAATTGCAAAAAAGTCCGCAAATAAACTGCATTAATATAATGTACAAAACATTCTAAAGATGCCAAGTTAAATAAAACACGCCAACTGAAATCAACTATGAAGAGATGGTGGGGGGGTGGGTGGGGGGGTGGGCAAAATTACTGTTTGGATTATTACAACCTGCAACAGCAATGAGGAAACGCAGTGTAGCAAACAAGACAAACACAGTTAATGTTTCTCCTGACTCAGAGGGGGCCATGTTTAACAACCCGACCAGCTTTTTCACATTAGTTTCTGCAGCTGTAACAGTTGGGTTTTACGGTCCTGCTTCACAAAGAGACTCAGTTTTAACTTCCCAAGTGAAGTCACTGCTGGCATGATGCGATTCTGAGTGTTTATTAAAGGTGTATTGTTGCAGCAGCACAATAGAACAAAACAGAAAACTCTAAAAATACAGGCAGAGGAAGGAGGGAGGGGGTCTCTGGAGAGAAGCACAGCAGAGCAGAACTTCCTCCCCGGAGCATGAACACACACCGTGTCTACAACACGTCGTTGGAGTAAACCTGCACATGAAGGTACATGTGTTGGCATTCACTCCCATGACTGCAGGGATTTGTTCTGACTCCGTTAATCACATAGTTATTCAGTGTGTTAAACATTAGAGTTGCACTCTCTCCAAGCATTTGCTCCAACATCTTGTTTTGATCTCAGCTGCAATCCAAAATAAAGGTAAACAACAGAAGACCCCCATTTAACATGAATCATATTGTGAGTTTTGGCCACGTGGAAAGTCTTTTTCTCGAAACAATCTTTATATTTGTTGTTTCAAATAAAATTTCTTTGTAAACAGGACATTGTTTACTAGAAGTTTCTTTACCCACAAAAAAAAAAAACACAAGCCAGGTGTGTATGTGGTGCTGGTACATGTATGTAGATACAGTTTTCACGAAAGACATGAACTGTACACACATTAGTCATAGGTAAGCTAAGAGGATGGACAAATTATTTGGTGTATCTTCACAAAAATGCAAGGGTGGCAATTATACGACAAAGAAATTATTTTTTTTAACCAGAAGTCCTAAAACTGAACTAAAAAATAAGTTTGTGAACTAAAGTGTGTGAACTTTTAAAACAATTCTTGAGTGGGTGACACTTTTTAATGAACAAAAAGAAACAAAATTATTACAGTTTTTGCATACAATGAACCGCAAAAAGTAGAACCTAGTGGTAGCTGCAGAAAAACTTAAAGGTCAACATAAAACTGGAAGTTCTTACACTTGTTTTGTTTATGTGCGGCTTTGTGTGTGTGTGTGTGTGTGTGTGTGTGTGTGTGTGTGTGTGTGTGTGTGTGTGTGTGTGTGTGTGTGTTTGTGTGTGTCTGTTCTTGTTTTACAGCTTTATGAGGATAGATGAGCTTTTAAGGACTTCATGAGGACACTAGCGAGGGTGTAGATCTAGTCTTCAGGGTCACTATCTGCACCAACAAACCTGGCTTGATTAAATGGGTTCTGAAGATCTTGAGAACATGTGATTCTATTATTGAACCAGGTGTGTTGGAGCAGGGAATAATCTGATCATGAACTTTAAAACTATAACTGATATAGTGGTATTATTTAGCATTTTTCATTTAAAGTCGTCAGAAAGTTTGAAGCCTTTTTGCTTTAGCAATTTTCTTATTTTCTTCTCTTTATCTTTCTATTGAACGAAGTGGCAGGCTGCACAGTGGAGCAGCGGTTAGAGCTGTTTGCAGCAAGAAGGCCCTGGGTTCTCTTCCTGGCCTGGCGTCTTTCTAATTGGAGTTTGCATGTTCTCCCTGTGCATGCGTGGGTTCTTTCTGGGTACTTCCTCCCACCGTCCACACCCATGACTGTTAGATTGATTGGTCTGTCTGAATTTTCCTTAGGTGTGTGTGTGTGTGTGCGTGCGTGTGTGTGTGTGTGTGTGTGTTGCCCTGTAATGGACTGTCACTCTGTCCAGGGTGTACCCCGCCTGACTGCCCATTGACCGCTGGAAATAGGCACCAGCCACCCCCCACGCCCCCGCGACCCTACATGGACAAGTGGGTTAAGAAAATGGATGCATGGATGGATGAACAAAGTGGCAGCATAGGAAGCTATATTTGTATGTTAATTACAGTAATTTTTAAATCACAAATAACAGTAATTTCATATACTTAAAATAAAACATTTTAATTCAAAAATAAAATTTTACAGAAAAAAGAGAATATGAAAAACATCATTCATATGTAGTTGTAAGTATGAAATAATAAAAACGAATACATATAAGCCATGCCAACCTTTGTTTTCACCTTAACTAATTTACAAAATTTAATCATAGAAAAATTAAATGAAAACGAACTTTCTTCATAGTAATACTAATACAAATAATAAAATGTTTGTAACATCTCCACAATCACTTTGAATTGAAGAAGAGACAATTATTTCAACCGTTTTGAAACAGAAACTGAGAAGGTAAATATCTTGTTTGTTGTGATGGCTTAGCTACACCACCCACAATTCTTGTGTAAATGTAAATCTTGCATGACGGTTAACAGAAAGTTACAAAAAAAAATGAATTTCAAAATACCACTAAGAATTTACAAGACACTGAAAAAAGGTCATTTGTTTTAGTGACTACGTTTACGTGCAGCCAATATCCGGGTTATGATCGGGTTAAGGTCGGTATTCGGGTTTCTGAGTTGATCAGAATAACCCGTTTACAAGCATAAATAGAACGAGTTACCCCTAACTTGCATAACCCGATTTAAATGCGGACGTTGGGGTAGCATCAGGACGTATGGACTACGTCAAGATGCAATATGCATCATTTCCGGTTCTTCTTGTTCCGGTATCCGTGAAAACAACACTGTCTCTGTACTTTCGGCCGTCAACCAAAGACATAATGTTCATACTTTTCAGCAGACCGATGAAGACAGAGGTTTCCTTGTCACTCCAAAAGTGTGGTGCTGTGCTGCGACTCGCCATGTTGCTCCCAACTTGTTGTTTACTTCTGGAGTTCTGGCGCATACAAGACGTCTCGCTACTCAAAAGACCAAGATTCCTTGCGAACAGAGCATGCGCAGAACACACGCTTTGATGGGGATATCCCGGTATGCGTTTACACGACCAAACATTCGGGTTAGAAAAGGGTTACCCCAGGTGTAGTAGTTATGAGCATATCCGGGTTTTTGGCGGTGTTTACATGGCCGTGCGGAACCGGGTTATTGTGAATATTCGGGTTTTAAAAGGGTTACTGGCTGCATGTAAACGCACTCAGTGTAACATTTTTTAGTTAATTAGTATTGTAGCATGCTCATTTATACCACAATAAATGTTAACAATAATTGTAATATATGTTTAAACTTAAAATAAATGGAATTTAGTTTTAGATATTTATTTAATGCTCTCCAATGAAAAATATAGTTTCTTAAGCAGTTTTAGTTTCCATTTTATTTAAATATAATCTTGGAATTATTTGTTTTTTAATGTTTTATTTTTAACACTTTTAATTGATTGTTACAAAGTTACCCTGCTGCAGTTACTGCTAATTATATGTAAACATTTCTAATCAGTCAAGCTTCTTTTGGGGTTAAAAATGCTGTTTTTCAGGACTCTGTGTTCCAGGAAGTAAAATTTCTCAACAAGGATTTTCACGAAGTTAAAGAGACTGAATGTATGTAAAATTTCTCACCGGTGGGGGTTTAGCCACCACACAGCAGCCCATTTTGTGCCAGAAATCGCTCATTCCAATGCTCTGCCTGTCCAGCGGCCTGCCGTTGATCTCCGCCGCCGCCCTGCAGGCCTGAGAAGGAACTGCAGCCTGGGGATAATCCTGGGGCATCCAGACAAAAACTATCTACACGACTGTAGACTTTCAGGGGAGTCAATCCCTAAATATACCCACCTCAGAGTAAAAAAAAAAAAAAACTGTGAGGAGGTATAAAGGGTCAAATCCAGATATCCATACGTTGGTTTCTCAAAAAATGTGATCCTTGAATGTCCTCAAAGCTTAATGAAGAAAAATCCAAAATGTGAGGTCCAAGTTTGATCTGTGAGGAAAGAAAACATTTTACTTTCCAAAATAATGGTTTCAGTCTACAGTCAGAAAGTATTTCCCTCATGAATCAAAACATTCCATACTGTTCTTTTGATGTACTTGTTCTTTTCACAACAAGGAAGCTGACAAATGATTTATTCTGCCACTGACTGTGTAAGTTTGTCTTTTGCAATCAGACAGAGAGCTGTTTCTTTTATCAGTCACACCTTTTTATCTTAAAGCATTTAAGCCCATCAGATTTATGTTGGTGTTTCAGTGGGATTACCATAAAACCTATCCGACACATTTAAATAAATCCAGTCTGAATTATTCTCTGTTTAGACAACATTTCATCAAATCTAAGTATGTTAGCCAGTTAGAAAATCATTCATCATTCTTTCTATTCTAAATGTTGCAGATCAAAGCCACAACGGAGCACAAAGCAGGTTAAGGCACACCAGCTACAAAGAGATAAAATATCTGACGTCAGCCGCCATTACTAGCCAAATAAGGCCAGTGAAACTAAGCTGCATGAAAAAACATTGTAAGGGAATACATGATAATATTTTTTTTAAATAGCACTCATGTTTTCTCCAAAAAAAATCACCACATTTCCAAAGAAATGTCATTTAACTCAACCGGGGTCCTCAGAATGATAGAAAAATGTTTATGCACTCTGTCATTGAGCTGCATGGGAACCAAACCCTCTGAGACGTCAACACGGCAAGCACATTAAGCATGACTAAACACTAGGTGTGGTCCAAACACAGAGCAGGAAGTAACAAACACACTCAAACACACATTTGGGGCTGTAATGTTGAATTTAAATGCGTGTTTCTGGTGTTTTGCTTCTGTTGTTTGCAGATGAGAGAAACTGATCCTTAGTTGTAACTCTTCAGCTGCTGATTAGGTCTCTGTGTATATAAGAAACACACATGCTTGACCTTTGACCCATCAGGTGGGAAGCACAAAGGCTAATGACGAGTTGCTGCAGTGAAATACCAAATTCAAAGGGTAGTTTTTGGAATGTAATCTGATATGAGAACATAAAGAGCGTGCCTGGAAGTTTGTTCTGTTCTTTAACATTTAGTACAGATTTAAATACTTCAGACACAAGAATAAACAATCACTTGGCTTCCTACACAAACAAATCAGATTCAAAATCTAATGATCCTAAGTAAAATAAGTCTTTTGGAGCCCAAAGAAACACATTCATTAGGGATGTAAGAAAATATGGATACACTGAAATATTGCAATGTATCCTGTGATGATACTAAATTGATTTTCAAAAAGAGCGTATGGATTATTTTACTGAGAATTTACATGCAAACATTTACTGGGGTTCTTTTGTGTGACGTAATTCAAACACTGACAGCTAGGTGGCAGCAGAATGTACTGCCTTCATTCTGGCGGACCATTGAGATCCAGAATAAGCCGTTTCAGGGCTCTGTCACTTGAAGAAAAAAAATGGCCATGCACACCCATCCCCCATTCAGGCGCTGAAAAGCTCCAACATCCAGGAGGGGCTTGGAGAAGAGCTGCTGCTCCTCCAATAACATCTCTCTCTAGCACGTGAGAGATGGTTCTGTTATAATTTTCCAGTTTGTGACATCCTAATCTGGGACTTTTAATCCCGGACCACAATGCATGTTTTGGCTGTGGCACAGGACTGCATCATGTCACACTGTGAGGACTCTAGAGATGTAGCACACTGCGTGAGCCAAACTGCACGACATCTCGCTCTAGTAGGACACGTTAACGTCACGAGTCTACTCACCAAAAAGCATGCATCACTTAAATCTGACAACTAAACAAAACGAAAAGAGAAAAAAAGCGCCACCCTTGCCACTTCTATTATTTAATCTTGAACCAAACTCCCAAAAGGAGTGGTCCACATATTCCTGCAAGCAGCTTCCATTGTTGCCATTTCTACTCTCGTCACTAGTCGTTTTCGTCAATCCTTGGGTGGATTTTCATTGGTCAATTGCAGATGTCAGTCGGAGGTTTTCAAGTGCTGCTTGAAGACTGTTGGACTTTAGCTATGAGAGTGCTCTAAAAGCTGGTCACACTGAATTGCCACAGACCTGCTAATGAGCCTCGTGTTCACCGTTTTTTGACACAATTCCGTTCATGAGGAGAGAGAGAGAGGGCCGAAAAACTCAGTGTGGTTCAGGCATTAGGCGCGTAATTCCTAAAATTATACACTGGCAGAAAATGGATGGACAATTTATTTTTGATGTTTGGAGTGTTTACAAAAGGCTGTAAAGACCCACATTGCTGCACAAAAGATGCAAAGGGTGAACTTTGCATAATACAGCATCTTTAAGAAGCTGCAAATATTATCTGGCTTTTAGTATCACAATACATCTCATATTCTCCCCTGTATAATCAAGCATGTATATCCAGCCACTTTATATGAACTGTAAAGTCTCAAAACAAATAAAACTCCTATAAACCGGCACTAAATATACACCTGCAGGCCTCATGTGCAAAAATCAGTCCTGCACTAAAGCTGGGAATTTGTGTCACTGACTTTGTATCGTGTGACGACAGACACACTCAAAAACTTTGCATAAACCCTGCACCCGAGGGGGTAAAACAATTGAGCCTTTAGGGAGGAACTTTCTCATTTGATCGCGTGAAAAGCGGTTTTAAATTCATCTTGTGTGTTGCTGCTGACAGATTTGGATCTTTGTTCCACGTCAGTTCAGTTGAGTCCAACCATCGAGTCCAACAAGTTTACAAGGATTACAGCCAGCGTGTGGGCGACTCTAAACAAACTGAAAAAGTTGAATTCCTTTGTGGATCACTTTCAACAGCATGGCAGACGGCACCCAGGGTCTCCTGATTGCACGCGTTTTTAGCATGTCGTTCTATTCTCAGTCTGCTCTAGTCCTGCTAGAGAAGTGTCTGGAGTGGCTCCAGCACATTTGAGCAGATGATAAGGAAAGAATGTGGAGGCCAGAAACATGTAGCTTCATGCTTCATGTCCACAAAGATCAGGGGAGAGGAATTCAGCTCCAGGGTCTGACATCCAGACGTACGCCTTCCAAGGAGAGGACTTCCTGCATCTGAATCAAACAACTTATCAAATCCTGCCCTGGAACTTCTAAATGTTCGCGTTCTATTTCTTCTGATCTTCACAAATTTTGAAGAAAAATAATTTATTTATTTATTAAGGAGGTAACTGAGTTAGATCCTCCAAGCCTCCATATGAAACAAACCCACACTTTCATGCCAAATCTTCCATAATTTCTATAATCATTCATTCTGGGATACATGGAAGTTCTGGGATCAGCTCCAGAAGAGAAACGTCTCCGTTTTTGTTACACCGCTGACAACACGTAATTGAATAGTCTCTGTGCTGGGGCGTGGTGACAAACCTAATCTCTGCTGGATTACGATCAGAGATTTGCGTAACTGAAAAAGTTACCCAATTATGAGGTCAAGTGGGTGGAGCTTGGGGAGGATTGGGGGGGATAAAGTACAAAAAAAAAGACAAAATCAATTGTTGCACTGGCATGGTTTACCATAACTTCTGCTTCTGTTTAAAAAAAACTGAAGAAGACAGAAAAATAGTCGTGATTCACGCCAACGTGAACACTTCAACAAAGAGGAAGGAGTCCAGACAGCAAATGAGCAAGCTCGATTTAAACTTCCTGACCTGCAGACTGTTTGTTGGTAGCAGCGCGTTTGTCTCATGACGTCATGGTGAGGAGGTAAAACATCCTCCTCTCATTCCTACTGTCTGCAGGTGGTTTGGACCTTGATTTTTCAGCTCTGCCACGAGCAAAGTTGCAATTTTTAAAATACATTTTTTAAAATTAAAAATTAATGAATGATAAAAAACTTATTTGGTTTGTGCATCTGTACATAAAAGGAAAAAAATGCTTTATCACAGGAATCTGATACATTTATGAGCTTTTAGACCAGAAAATCCAAACAATAAACCAAAAGTCGTCATCACCAGTGTGACCTCCTGATCCGAGACCAGCTGAGTGTTAATGTGCCCGAGGGAAGAATCAGCTAAAAAAAACACTAAACAAAAACAAGAGTTCATCTGTTGGGAACAACAGCATGCCGGTCACATGATCACACTTCAAACAGACGAGAGGAAAACAGAAAAACATTATTTAAACGGGTCTAGTGAACAGCACGAACTCAGACCTAGTGAACGGCGTGATAAATGTCAGGATAGTTTAGACAAAAGATGAGTTTCTATAATCGTTTTAATCTTTAAGTGTTTATTAACTAATATCTATACGTTAAATATATGACAAATTGTTTTATAAAGAATTTTGAGGGGTATCGCTCATTATTTAGGGGCAAATTTAAATATTTACCGTAAATCCTCTAATACAGGCCGGTATTCAATTAAAGGCCGGGTCTCCAATTTTGGCCGGTGTCGGAGTCAGCGGAGGTAAATAATGGCCGGTCTCTTATTGTGGCCGGGTGGAATGTGGTGACAAGCAAGTATGAGCGTCCCAGCGGCAGGGTTATAGTCCCCAAATCAACCAGCAGGAGGCAGTAGAGGTTCACACAGGCCTTTATTGGGCTTTTTCTTCAACGCTTTGTAACGCTACAGACACGATCCTCTATCACGCTCCTACCACACAGAGTCACGGTGTCAGTTAACCATGCTAATTCAACCCCTCCACAGAACACACATCACCTTCCCTGTGGCTTACATAACACTCACACAACACGCAAATCAGCACATAGGAACTAGCAGAACGATAGGAAACACATATAACACAATACCCAGAATGCACCTGGCTTACAACCCCAGCCAGGTCATTACACTATCAAGTTCAAAGAGAACGTGCTGATTATGCTGCAGAACACTCTGGAGAGCAGCAGTAGGGGGTGTATGAACTAGTCAACTTCACTATACAGTAATCCCTCGCTACTTCGCGGTTCGTTCATCGCGGATTCGCTGCTTCGCGGATTTTTTCTTTGGAGCATTTTTCAGGGGGAATTCGCAGATTCGCGGTATTTTTCACTGATTCGTGG